ACTGGCATCTGCCCAAAGATTTTTGATAAAATCTACATTGCCCAGCTATGTAGATCTAGAATGTAGGTGTCACTCCCACAAATGCCCTTGTGCTGTGCACGGTCTGCCCAACTGTACAGAGCAGGCCCTGAGTGTCACTGCAGTTGACCCTAGTCTTATTTTCATGTTTCTGTTACTTATATTATGTCTACAACTAGGACATCTTTCTGTTCCTTTCTTGCTGACATTTTAGACCCCAGAGTCCACAATAAAATCCTTCCCTGATTTCATTCCTTCTGTACACTGCTCAGACTGGCAGAGGTGCAATGCAAAACCCAGGGCCTGGCATCTTTGCCTTACATTTGTGCCCTCTGAGGACCCTGGGACTGCTCCCAAGAGTCTGGTGCAGGGACTCTATTGTGAAGGTCTGTGTCAGCCCCAGAGAGGCCATTGCCCTGTGCTCTGTCCCACCCAGACATTTGGCACCTCTGATTCTTGGCCTGCAGTTACGTTGTTGGCAAAACCTAAGAGACAAAGCTGGGCGATGCCACAGTGGGGCTGGGCTGTGAGATGAGTGCCCACTCCCCTGAACACTGACATGAACTGAGTTCTGTGCTAATCATTCTGCAAAGCTTCTATCATCAGATACTTACAGTAGCTTAGGTAGGTTCTGTTAGCATCTCCATTTTACAGGCAGGGAAGCTGAGGCTTTTAGTGACCAAATGATTTATCTGAGACCCCCACATTAAGTGGTAGAAAATGGGTTCAAAACCAGATCTCTCTGTCCTCAGAGCCAATGCCAAGCACACCTCCCTCTTCCTGTGCCTGCTTTAATCTGTTTTTTGCCATTTAAGCTCCCCTTCTGCAACCCAGAAGGGCCTCTGATCCTGTGCACCCGCCTCCCTTTAGCACTTTTTAAGCACCTACTGTGTGCCAGTAAAAATGTCAAACTGAAAAAAACGCCAGACTTCTGGGGTCTCTCGTCCTTTTTCCTTGCTAAGGTCCACTGAGTCCAGACTTCCTGGCTGCCCTGAGAGTCAGCCAAGCCTCATGGGTTGTTTTTGTGCCCTAAACCTGCGATATTGGCTGGGAAAGCTCTGATGTGCTTGGCGGCCACATTCTTTCACAGATGCACTCCTCAGTGCCTTTACTCTTCACCCCAGTCTTTACTCAGGCTTGAAATGAACCTGTTGGAGCAGTGATCTCCCTTTGTCAAAAATCATTTGTTGAGTGCATCAATCAGGGTTCTTTAGTGTCATGCAGCAGAAGCTGACTCTGACCAAGCTCTTAAGCAGGAAAGGGATTTATTAGGGAGCTGAGAGTGGAGGAAAAGGGTGGGACCACCAGGCTGACAGGGCCAGAGCCACCCATAAATGGGTACAGAGGTTCAAATTCCCGAAGCAGCAGCATAATTGGCCAGGCTGAGTCAGGTGACCTTGCCAAGGGAATGTAAGACGTCTTGATTGATAGCCCCGTTGGAAGCTAAAAGGGAATCAAAACTGCACATCCACTCTGATCTACTGGGGAGAAACAGGAAAGGTAACAGCCAGCCATGAAGATCCCTACCTGTTTGCCAAAAGCCTGGGAGGGACACGCAGACCTCTAGCAGGCGAACCTCCAGGATGGAGGCCTGACCAAGATGCATGATGAGTTCCCCGGGCAACTCTGATGAGCCACTCTAGGGAGCCAACAGAGATACTCGAGGACTCCCAGTTATCCTTCCAGGCCCCATTTGCCTGGATCTAGCCCCGCCCTCGATGCTTCCCTTGTAGGTACGTCACCCTTCACCCTGTGCTTCAGTTTCTCCACCTGTAAAATGGGGCTACAGCATTATGTACCTCATCATGTGGTGGTGATAAAAATATGTGTAAAGAGCTTAGGTATAAAAATCAGCCACAGCACCCTAGGCACACCCTTCCTTCCTCAAATTCAAGAATGGAAGGACAAGTGAGTGTAGGAGAAAATGGCATATGGCCCATTTCCACCCTGCCATAAGGCTTCATGGACATCACCAGACTCCACCCTTCCCATATGTACTGCGAGCAGGGAGATGTGGGGCAAATTAGCTGATAGGTCCCTCCCCAGTGGGACTTTCTGAGCCAGAGTCCTCAGGTCTCAGAGTAGTTTAAGACAAGATTATGGGCCTGGTGCCAACATGAAGTCACTATAGAGTGTCACTTTGTGGACAGCCAGCTCCCCAAATGGTGAGTTCTGGCATACCTACTTCTGTGAGGTAACAAGCCATGCCACGTGCTTAGCCCTATATGGTGCCCTGCACGCCCTCTCTCCATAGGGCCTCACAGCTGCCCTGCACAAGTGGGCCATCTACTTGCTGCCCAGAAGCTGTGTGGCTAACAGGAGTCAGGGCTGACACCTGACCTCGAGCCACACAGCCTCTCTCTCAGTGACTGTTTTGATCTCCCCCGTAGTCCATCTTGGGAAGTAGGTAGTGTTATATTGTTCCCATCCTACAGTCAGAGAAACTGAGGCTTGAGGCCCTGTGGGACTTGGTCCCAGAGCTGAATTTCAGATTCTGAATTTAACAACCATCTTCTATACCAACAAATGAGGCAAAAACCAGAGCCTTAAAACCTACCAAACCTGTCTCAGGGGTCCTCCACCCCATCCCATTGACCTCCCTGGGGGCCACTGAGGCAGCTTCCCAGGACTGGGAACACAGCCAGCCACAAATGACCCAAGGACCTCAGAGCACAGTGAACGTCTGTACCTCTTCCCTGTAAAGACGGCAGGTGACACAGATCCTGTCCTGTCCCAAAGTAAACATTCTCCGTGGCCAGCTGAGCCGCTGGTCTCTACTAGACCCTCCCCTCCTCCCTGGACCCAGAGCAAGCTGGCCACGACCGCTCCAACCCACAGCCTTCTGTGTTTACCTAACTTCCCTGACCCCAGCGAGTGCTGCCGCCTTTTTCTTCCTTTCTCAAAGAGCAGGACACAATAGGAAGCGATTCCTTGAACTTATTAAAAAAATCCAGACTTGTAAATTAATTTGTTCGTGTTGTACAAAGGCAGTGCAGATGGACTCATTAGCATGCACACAACAAATAATTATAGATGAATTTTTAGCTGGCCTGCCTAATGCGCTCGCTGGGTTAATTATGTCAGTGTATAATTACATCAGCCCGGGGAGACATAATGGCGAACCCTGATGAGCAGGCCCTGCCTAATGACGGGGCGTGGGGGCCACTGACGGAGGAGAGCGCTGTGCTCCGCCACACCTGCTCACTTCGCCACGAGCACCATTGTCCAGCCTTCTGCCACCTCCACATATTGGGGCAGGAGAACGAAACGAAAGGCTACCTTGTTCCAGCTGGACCTGAAGGCCCCCAAATACAGGCAGCACCCCATCTTCTACCAGCCAAAATGCACCGAGGCAGACCGTATCAGGCTTCATGCTGGTTGCAAGAGGTATGGTAAGAAGAATAAAACCAGCAGCGGCCCTGGCCCTCCCTTGCTGTGGAGTTTGTAGCCTGAGTGTTAAGTAGATAGCCTTGCAGGAAGACATGACCTCAGAAGGGTGTGGGGAGCTTGGCCTCATCCCAGAGGGCCTCCTGGAAGAGGTGGCCTTTGAGTTGTGAAATGGAAGGCAAGTGTTAATCTCCTGAAAGCAGGAGGCGAGGAGGTGTGTTCCCTGCCAAGGCACCAGTGGCAAGAGCTTCCATTTGGGGCTGACAAAGCTTGGGTGCCAGGTTGGACACTTTACCTGGATCTCGTCACAGTCCGGGGAAATTGCCACTTTTATGGTAAAGCAGAGAGAGGTAGAGTCACTCGCCAAGGTCACACAGCAATGCCAAGAAGCAAGTATGGATTAGACCAGAGTCCAAACAAGTCTGATCCTCTTAATCCCTTTGCTCCCCAGCAGAGAGCAGAGGTCAGCAAATGCATGGAGGCAGGAGGTATTGGGAGAGGGATCCAGAGAATTAGGAGCAAAGCAGACCCCAGGCCCAGGGTCTGCAGCTGCCGGGGCTGTGACGGGCACACAGCAGGACAGGAAGCCTTCATGCCCTCAGAGCAGGAGAGCCAGGTTGCCGTCACATCCACAGCACCGGCTTCTTCGAGCTTCAGTTTCCTCATCCATGAAAACAGCTTGAGTCCGAGCCAGCCCCCAGAGAACACGGTGAAGACCATGGGAACTGCTCCTGCAACTGCCTTTGTGGTCTGAGCTCAGGAATCATCCAGGGGACACATGTACCTGCCCCAGGTGGGGAGTTGGGGATGTCCTGGGGACACCCTGGGGCAGAGCTCAAAGTGGAAGAAGAAATGCTGCAGAGGCGAGCCATGTCTTCTTAACCTATTGCCAAGGGGGATATCTTAATGCCTCAAATCGAGGTAAGGCTTTTGCTTCCAGGAAAGCAGCTATTTAATCAACAGCGACAGTGCAGATCCCAAAGAACTGTGTCATCTCGGTCCCCTGGGAGGGAGGGAGGGAGGGAGGAAGCCAGGAGAGATGGGAAGAGCCACAGACCACATGGCGTGTTTGACCCCAGGGACAGAGAGGCAGGGGCTGACTCGTACCAGCTGCAGGGAGGCCTTGAGCTGGAGATGGCCCGCAGAACGGTCCTGCCTTGGTTTCCCTGTGGCACTTGGGCATTATCTAGGGAGGCCCGGGGGAGGCGCAGCCTCAGAGATGGTTTCAGGGTGCAGCAGCTCAGGATGGTTAGAGGTCTGCAGGCACAGTCCCATGGCCACCACAGATGACATTTCCAGGTCCAGAAAATGCAGCTATGATGCCACTGTCATGCAGCAGCTCAGGTGATGACATTTCCAGGTCCAGAAAATGCAGCTATGATGCCACTGTCGTGCAGCAACTCACCCTCGTGCACTCACCCTCACGCAGGCACGTGCCCCAGGTGGGCCAGAGAGTGCTGCGCTTGTGGGGCAGAAAGTCCATGCTCTCCCTAAGCCGTTGGTGACTGCAGGTGGCCCTTGCAAATGGCGGCAGGCCCTACGGCCTGAGCCCTCACATGGACACCCTATCCTTCCAACTTTCTCCTTCTCTGCAGACCCTGTGCCTGCATTTGAGGTGGCGCGCAGCCTAGACGACAGACTGCAGCCCCCCAGCCTTGACTCCAGTGGACAGTCCCGGCGAGACGTCCACGCCTCGTGGAAAAGGCACCCCGAGCTCCTCGGCCCCAAAGGTAACAGATAAGACCCTGACAGGGCATCCCAGACTTTCATGAGGTACCTTCAACAAAGCCCAAGGCTGCAGAACTTCAAACTGAGCCACCCGTGAGGGCAGCAGCAGAGAGGAGCAGGGAGCCAAGCTTTATTACTTTAGGCGACAGACAGGTTGGGCACCACTGCAGCTGAGGCTACTGAAGGTGGGGCAGATTGCAGAAAATGCTCCACACTGTGTCACTCAGGGACCCAGGTTGTGGAGATCCTGTGCCTTCTACATGTAACATCTAGTCGCCATGAATCTAGTCACCATGAATGTTGAATGTATCAACAGACAGAGGAAGAATGTGGAGGTCACTGCCAAGTGTGTGGAGCTCAAGCCTGGACACTAAGGAGTCCCTTCCATCTCCACCCTGTTGGCTAAAACCAAGCCTGCAGCCACACCCAGCTGCAAAGGAGGCGGGAAATGTAGGTCACCTGTGTGTTCAGATGAGGGGCAGCAAGAGAAAACACAGAGACAAGGGGAAATGAATTGGAGCCTTAAGACTTTCTGAGCCAATGACAGATTCTATACAGTGTCTCATTCGCCTTTGAGCCTCTAAGGATCTAGACCCAGAGTTTAGGGTTGTATACATTCAGAAGCCTGGAGACCCAGTCTGGTTCTAAATGGGGAATATGCGGTTGTGCTTTTAAGCCTTGGAGTTCAGGACTCACCAAGAAGCAGACTCTAGGTGGCCAGTGACAGAAGTCAGACCTTAATCCTCACAGAGTAGGACTGGACAGACACCTATGCGAGGCTCTCACAATGGCCCCCAGATGCCACACCAGCCAGTCACAAAGGCAGCCAGGGGTGAGAGTGAGACCACAGAGCTGCCCTCAGAAAGGATGTCACCCAGGGCTGTTCCCACCACTGAAAGGATGGACCAGGCCTGAGGGGATTGCTGCAGAGGAGGCAGACCCCAGGGCTGAGCCAGGCATGCCCAGCTCTCCCCTGTCTCGTGCAATGAGGAAGTTCCTGGTCCCACCAACAGGAAGTGGCTAAAAAGCACACACAGACATTTCTCCTACAATGTGACATAGGGAGAAATGGAGACCTTGTCAGTGACCTGCACAATGTGACCAGGGCAGGTCCTCACCCAGTCACAGCCACTGGTTAATGAGTCGACAGTGCTATCCATGGGTCACCAAGGTCATGGAGTAACAGGACTCTACGCAGCTGCCACCTGTTTGTGCCTTGGAAATCCCTCTCCAGTAAGGCTGCAGGTGGGCCCACCCAGGACCTAGTACATTTACACCTTGGTGTGTGTCCTAGAGATGCCTGGCACCCAGAGAACCAGTCAAGAGGATGCTGGCTGCAGACTTTGCAGACTGCAGCAACCAGATGTCCAGGGAGCTCACTCGGCTGCATCCTGCACTGCCAGGGGTGTAATAACAGTATACTCACTGCATGTCATAAAATGGCCTGCCAAACAGGGGGACTGCATGGATCACAGTGCTCTTTCTATAGCAGCCATGCAACTATAGCAAAACTAAAAATAGCACTTAGATATACACTTATTGTTGTTTTTTGGTGGGTTTTTTTTTTTTGGTCATAGTGATACTAGGGACCCAGGACCTTACACATGCCAGGCAAGCACTCTACCACTGAGCCACATCCCCAGCTACTTTTTATGTTTTATTTTGAGACAGGATCTCGCAAAGTTGCCCAGGCTGGCTTTGAACTTGTGATCCACCTACTTCAGCCTGTCAAGTAACTGGGATTACAGGTGTGTGCCACTGTGCCCAACACAGTAATAAACATTTTTGAAAGAATGATGAACAAATCCAACCTGGTACTCACCTTGGGTGGATAATGCAGAGGGGGCTGAGGTGGGGAGCAGTACAAGGAAGGCCTCGTGACCACTCCATTGCTGATTGTTGTGGGGCTGCATCAGGCCCTGTTCTGGCCCTCCTGGGTGCCATTCCTCATAAGGTCATGCTGAGTAAAGGAAGTGACCCAACAGGACCCTGTCTAGAACAGGCAAGTCCATAGAGACAGCAGATTGGTGGTCAGAGGGTCTAGGGAAGGGAAAATGAACAGTTCTTTAAGCCAGGGACAGTGGTACATACTTTTAATTCCTCTATTCAGGAGGCTGAAACAGGAGGATCATAAGTTCAAGGCCAGCTTGGACAGCTTGGCAAGACCCTGCCTCAAAATTCTTAAAAGCCTGGGGAAGTAGCTGAGTGGTAGAACACTTGCCTAGCATGTGCAGGGCTCTGGGTTCCATCTCCAGAACAACAGAAGAAAAGCTGGGTGTGGTGGCACACGTCTATAATCCCAGCACTTGGGAAGCTGAGGCAGGGGAACCACTGTGAGTTCAAGAGTAGCTACATAGTGAATAGGACAGACTGAGCTACATAATGAGGCCCTGTCTCAAAGAAATAAAAATGAAAGAAAGAAAGACTTAGTAGATATAAAGAAGTAACAATGGTCTAGAATTAGCAGTGATGATTACACAATATCACAAATATACTGAATGTCACTTTTAAAGGATTTTATGTATATTTTATCACAATTTTTAAATGAAGCCAAGGAGACTCAAGTGGGCCAAAGAATTTCCCAGGGGTGCTGTCCAGCGCTGGCATGGTGGGAACTCAACCCATGCATGTGCCAACTGCCAGCTGGTGGGTACTAATGCCTGCCGCTCTGGGAATCCATATTAACCCATCGACTGCTCTAGTTTGTAGAAACTTCTCTGCCTGTCATGTTGCTCTTGGCAATGGGTGTTCCTTTTTCTCCCTGCAGAGCAGAAAGAAGGGCCCACGCTGACCGAGGGGACCCGCCTCCCGGGTGGTGCCGGGAAAGCCCTCCTGACCGAAACCTTGCTGCAGAGAAATGAGGCCGAGAAACAAAAGTGAGGATGGAGGGAGGGCTGGTCCACTGTTGCCGGCCTGGCCGGGAGCCAGAGGGGGCAGGTCTCCTGCAGCTGCAGGTGCAAGGGGGACCTGGTAAGGGCTTTGCAGTCCAGCCGGCCCAGATGTGAGTCCCCCTACAGGGGCTCAGTGACTGGTCCTGGGGGACTCACATCATTCTTCTGAGCCTCAGTTTCCCCATCTGGAAAATAGAGACAAGGCTAATAATGATTATACTAACGCCTCAGTGAAACAGAACCAGTAGAATTTTTTTTAAAAAGTTTGGATGAAGTATTTTGAGGGGCCAGGGAGACCTGCCTGGCAAGGATAAGGTTCTGACTTCAGTAACTCAGTCATAGGCTGGAGACTGGCAAATCTGAAATTGGTAAATCAGATGGACACTGCCTGGAAACACAGCTGCTGAGCCCTGGAGGCCGGCTTTCTTTTTCTTCAGCTTGCTCCTGAGACCTTCAGCTGATTGGTTGAGGTTCCTTCACACTAGCAGAGATCGTCACATAAAGTCAGCCGAGTGTTGACAGTAGTCGCACCTGTTAAGGCTGCTCCACAGAGACACCCACACATGTGGCTGAGTAACTGGTGGCACTGTGTAGACCCCTAATACTGACCTGCCCCGTGGCCTTCGCTCCCAGCCTGCTGCAGAAACAAAATGAGCCAGGCGAGGTGGAGCGTGTCTGTAATCCCAGCACTTGAGAGGCTGAGACAGAAGCATTACCGTGAGTTTAAGGCCAGCCTGGGCTACACAGTGAGTTTAAGGCCCTGTCTCAAAAAACAAATGAACAAAATAATGGAGTAAGTCAGGCCTGAGGAGTTAGGGTATAGTCGGCACCTAACAGTGCAGGAGAAGTCACTTCCGGGGGCTCAGGTGTTTCATAGGTCACTGCATTTATCTTTTCATCCACTCATCCATCACCCTGCACCGTCCTGGAGCCACCTATTCTGCACCAGGGCCTGTTCAAGGCACTGGGGACACATCTGTGACCAAATAGCACTTTTTCTTAGTGAGGAAGACACAGGCATAAAGAAGATAATGTGCTGAGGAATTATTGGCACTGTGAAGAAACACAAAGCGGAGAAGGCTGGTACAGGGTACAGTGCCAGCTGCAGACAGAGTTGGGAGGGACCAGGCGAGGGTGGCCCCCAGGTAGGGCATTGCAGGCAGAGCGCGCAGCCTCAGCAGAGGTCATGAGGCAGGAGCGCGGAGGGGAGGGAAGGAGGTGAAGTCAGAATTAGAGGAACTTCCCCATCACAGCTGAGCCAGGCAGTGCCAGGTGCCCCTTCCTTCCTGCCAGCATCCTCTATCTGCTGAGAGGCTCCGGCCTTACTGAGCCAGCTGAATGTCCAAGTCCCTGCCACAGACTGGAGAGGGCGTGCCCTTGTTAAAAATCAGTAATCATAGTTGTGTGGATTTATTTCTGGGCTCTCGATTCCATTTATTTGGAACTGAGATTGGAACAGAAACGTTAACTAGTTAACATGGAGGAAAGAGCATCTCACGGTTCATGACACCCTCTGAGGCAGAGCCTGCCAGAAACCCCATTTCACAGGTGAGGAAACTGAGACCCAGAGAGGCGAGGCTTTGGAGTAAGTTCTTGGTTCCACAAGTCCTGACGGGACTTACTTACCATGATGGGGCCACATAACTGGTCAGATAGCAGGATAGCCAGGGCCCCCTAAAGACAGGTGCAGTCATGGGGCAGGTGAGGCCGATCCAGGGCCCAGGCAAGGTCCACCCCCATCTCTCTGCAGGGGCCTCCAAGAAGTACAAATCACTCTGGCAGCCAGACTGGGGGAGGCAGAGGAGAAAATTAAGGTGCTGCATTCAGGTATGTGCATGGCCCACAGGTGGGGGTGGGGGTTCATGTGGACGTGGACACAGTGGGTTGCCAAGTTCAGGGGTTCTAGAACAAGAAGGGTATAAAGAGCGGGGAGAGAAGGGGACCTTGCCCAGCAGAGTCCCAGCCTCCATCTCGAGGCCATGTCACTGGGACCAAATAGGGCAGCACACGTGATGCCTGTCAGGTACCAACAGGGGCCCAGGGCAGGACAAGGTCAGAGCATTGGGCAGAACCAGCGGGCACCACTGTGTGGATCTGATTGGCCCCATGTGGCCATCCTCTGATTTTCCCAGAGTGCTCAAAGAGCTGGGATTATGCAAGGTGCTTATTCACGGGACACTGTGAGCCTGTGGGCCTTGTCATTCTGCCCTGCCCCTCCACCTGCCAGGTCAGAGCTTCGGTGGGCAAGTGACAGCCCTGCCAGGGGATGGACGGCCAGGCCAGGGGACAGACAGCATCCCCAGCCCCATCCCAGAGGCCCTGAGATTTTTAGACTCAGAGATGCACCTGCCCTGTCTACCAGGCACCGCAGGTCCCTCCACTATTGAGACCCTCCTGAGTAGGACCCCCACAACCTGTCACCACAATCACCTCCAGGGAGACTCAGCCCATTCCCACCATGGGGTGGCGGCCTCATCTGGCTTCTTACTTACAGCGTTAAAAGCCACGCAGACCGAGCTAATAGAGCTGCGGAGGAAATACGATGAGGAGGCAGCATCCAAGTAAGTGAGCGTCCTGCTGGGGCGCCTCCTCCCTCTGTTCCCCACTCTTCCCCCACTGAATCTCTGCCTGAGACCCCCATTTAACTAAGCAGCTCTGCTCCCCACCCCCACAGGTACACAGCTGTCCCCTCTGCTGCCCCATCCCACATCACAAGCCATAAATAACAATGTGGGTCTCCAAACCACTGGGGCAGGGAGCCCCCCCTCCCCTGCCCCCGGGGCCAAGTAATGTCCCATGAATTACACTGGGCTACCTTTCTTCGGGTTCCAAAATACCACTCCTTCCATAAACATTCAGTGAGCACCTACTGTTTATCCAGTGCTGTGCTGGGGCCCCAGGGAGAAAGATTAGAATACGAGTCTGCCCTCAGGCTGAGCGGGGACAAGCAGTAACTAACTGAGAGGGATTAACCCATCCTCCAGGACAGGAGTGAGCACCTACTGGATGCTCACCGCTGCTCTCAGCACATGGCAAATGCTGCATGGGGAAGAACCGGGGCTCACGGGGTACCGAGAACAGAGGGAGGAGGCACCCTCCTGATCCAGGGAGGACTCATCAGGTGGCTCTTGGAGTGAGGACCACAGAAGACTGTTGTGCCGAGAGAGCCCCCAAGCATGCATGGAGCATGTGTGGCTCCTGGGGTGGCCAGAGGGGAGCTGGGCTGCTCTCTAGACGCAGAGACCCCAGGGAGGTATGGGGAGGGGGGCAGAGGCCTTGGCGGTGACAGGAGGCCAGGGTATCTAAGGTGTGGGAGCGTGGCAGCCTCCTCAGCACCCCATTGTGAGGCTCAAGTTCAGCCAGAGGCTGGGTGTCAAGGCCAGGGACCTGGTGGCTGCCGGAAGCTCCCCTCAGGGCCTCACCTCTGTGTCTCAGGGCAGATGAAGTCGGCTTGATCATGACCAACCTGGAGAAAGCTAACCAGGTGAGGGGCCTTCGATGGGGTTGGGGTGGCGGGCAGCCAAGGGAAGGGGACCTGTGTGCCATGTGTCTGGGAAGGCTGGGAGAGCCCAGGGTGAGCTCCCAGGCAGGACTGCATGGGGTGGACAATGCAGACAGACACTGAAACGGCCCAGACTGCAGGGGGCAGAAAGATGTCCTGAGACACAGAGGGGCCCACAGAATAAACCAGCCACTGTAGAGGGAGGCTGTCCATGCCACAGGAGCAGCCAGCTGCCCTTCCTGGGGCAGGTGGCTTCCCTGGGGGCTTTTGATGGCAGGAATTGGGGTCAGGGAGAAACCCTGAGATCCCAGCCCACTAGGGCAAGTTCCTAGGCTGAGCTGTGACCGCCCTGGTATCTCTAGCCTAGAGGAAGAGGCTGGGCCAGTGGCAGAAGTTGCCCCAGACGCTGCCCTGCCCCTGCCTTCCTGCTCCATCCCAGCCAGAGTGAGCACCATGTACACCCTCAGCCCTCTCCAGATCCCTGTCCCCAAGACCCAGCCTGGTCCCAAGTCCCTGCCTCCCCAGGCTTCAGACATTGCCAAGTGATGGGCAGAGCCTGGACAGGTTTTGAAAGGAAGCAGCTGTGGCTGTTCAGATCCAGTTTGGAGTCTCATGTGCCCCCCACATCTGTCCTCAGTTCCCCGCAATGCCAGCAGCTGGGTGTGTGGCCAAGTGCAACCACCAGAGTCTCAGGTGGGGTGCACTTGCCTGGTGTGCAGGCTGACACTGGGACGAGGCATCTGCCACTTTCCTGGGGGCCTCTTGGAGGAGGAGCTTTTGAGGCAGGGGAAGCTGCAGAGAAGCCTTGGAGGGGAAGATTGGTTCCAAGTCCTGATCCCCACAGGAAGCTACCAGAAGATGCTCTCAGGGCACTGTGTGCCACTGGGCCCCTGGGCTGAGCTAGTGCCAAGGCCCCTGGAACCCATCGCTGCTGCCCACAGGAGCAGTGTCCCTTAGGAGGGGCAGGAAGTCCAAAGAAGGGCAGCCCGAGTGGCCGTGGCAACACCCACAGTGGTGCCCCGGGCTTTGCACCTGTATGTTTTGAAATCACCATGACATGGGTCCCAATTTCTACAAGTTGAATGCATTTTAGCTCAGTTTCTAAAATAACTAACTCATTTACATATTTCCAAACTCAAGACCCACAGGGACATTAGGAAGCCCAAGCCTCTAGTTCCCACCTTGCAGCAACCTCTTTACTTTCAGGGTTCTCTCTCCAGTGGCAACCCGTGCCCAGGCCCATTTTAGTCTCTCACTTTTGTTCTGTTTTGGTTTAGTTTTTTAATAATCATTATCACTATATTATTTTATCACTGTGTTGTTTTATCACTATTATTGATAGTGAAAATTATCTTTTATCTTTATTTGTTTATTTGTGGTGCTAGGGATTGAACCCAGAACCTCACAGGTGCTAGGCAAGCACTGTACCACTGAGTTATATGCCCAGCCAGGTTTGGGTTTTTTGGGACAGGGTCTCACTCGGTAGCCCAGGCTGGCTTCAAACTCAGGACGACCCTCCTCCCTCAGCTTCCTGAGTGCCGGGACTACAGGCTTGTGCCACCACACCTGGTCCATTTCAGCTTCTTTCTCCTCCTCTTCCGCCTCTTTTTCTTCTTCTCCTCCCTTTCTTCCCCCTCCTTTCCGCTTCATCCTCCTCCTCTTCTCCCCTTCCCTGTTCTCCTCCTCCTCCTCCTCCTCCTCCTTTCCTCATCCTTCGGTTTTCCTGTTTCATGCTTGTTTCACAGGGTCATACCCAGGACCTTCGTACTGAGCTGCATCCTCAGCCCTTTGCGTTTTTTAATTTGAGACAAGGCCTCACTAAGTCACTAAAACTTGCAGTTCTCCTGGCCCAGCCTCCTGGAATTGTGGGATCGCAAGTGTGTCACCAAGCCTGGCTTTAACCTCCTTAAAGCAATGCTGTACAGGCCACCCTGAACCTCCCCTCTGCCGTGTGTCTCCTGGAGCTCCATCTGAGGCCCCATAGGGCCCAGCCCCACCCTCTGATCTGCACCTATGCAGTGTCCAGCGTGTCGATGTACCGCCATCCAGGCCAGGGGATGGCAACCTTCTGTAGCATGTTAGAGAGTAAATATTTTCAACTTTGCAATCCACATGTGACTGTCACAGTCACCTTTGCCATTGCAGTATGAAAACATAGGCCACATCTACCAAATAAAAAAGGTAAGCTGGGCATGGTGGTACATGCTTGAAATCCCAGCACTTGGGAGGCTGAAACAGGAGGTTTGCTGCATGTTGAAGGTCAGCCTGGACTAAGTAGTGAGTCCAAGGCTGGCCCAAACTACAGAGGAACACCCTGTCTCAAAAAAAGAAAAAAGAGAAAAGAAAGCATAGCCCACATGTAAATGAACAAGCAGAAACAGGTGCCAATAAAATTTTATTTATATGAATAAGCAGCAGTGTAATTTACTGCCCACTGGTGGCGCAGTCTCCTGCTAATGTACATGTGCAATAGATATTCCAGGCTTCCCCTGTCACAGTCAGAACTCCTCTCGGGTTCACAGTCAGTACTTCCACAAATAGCCTCGCACAGGTAGCATTTCACACAAGTGCAAGCTAATGTGCAGAGCGAATCCTCAAAGCGGAACTGCTGCGCAAGGGTCTGCATCTGTGATCTGGCACGCGTGCCGGACTGCTCTGCGTGGGGCTATGCCCACTTCCCCTTCAGTGCGTGTTAGAAGGCCCATTGCTCAAGGACTGTACCGGGATCACTTGTCCTCAGACTTGCACATTCTTGCCTACCAGGTAGGCTTCTTAAAAAGATCTTACAGCCAGGTATGCTTGTGCACACCTGTAAACCCAGCAGTCAGGAGGCTGAGGCAGAAAGATTGCCCCAAGTTCAAGGCCAGCCTGGGCCACATCATGAGTTCAGGGCTAACCTGAACTATATAACAAAACCTTGTCTCAAAAGCAAAAAATAAAATAAAATTTAGAGTAGCTTGAATAAGAGGCAGTTTTAATATTCTTCCTTTCTTCTTTTCTTTCTTTCTTTGTTTCTTTCCTTCTTTTTTTTTTTTTTTTGTACCAGAAATTGAACTCAGGATCTTGTGCTTTGTCTTTTTTATTTCTGAAACAAGGTCTTACTGTGTAGTTCAGGCAGGCCTTGAACTCTCTATGTGGCCCAGGTTGGCCTGAAGCTCATAGCAATCCTCCTGCCTCAGCCTCCCAGGTACTGGGATTACAGGCATGTGGCCCTCACTGGCTCTTTATTCTAAATATAAAATTAAAAACCTACTCATAGATATGCTCAGAGAAGAAAATAAATGTCACCATGTTAGGTTTTCAGTACCTGTGGTTATTGTCCAAGTATGACCACAAGGATTGTGGACACAGAGGAACCCCAGTATCACGACAAAATAGTCACCATGCCAGTTTTCCCAGCTGGCATCCCTGGGATGACCAAATGAGGAGCCAGTGTCATCCGAGGTATACTGGAGGATACCCTCGGCGAACACCTCCACATACAAATCTGGACATTACATTGGAGAGACATCTTCTGGCAGAATGCGGGAAAGAATCTTTCTCCCAGCTATCATGGGGCATGGGGGGGCAGGGACCCTGAGTTCTAGCCTTGGGCTGTAGATACATCTCTCCACGGAAGATGAGACTCCAGCTTTAAACCCCAGCTCACAAGCCATGGGATGTGGGTGTCTTCAGACCTGGCCTCCTCCGCTCTTGGAATGTAGACCTGCGCCTCCAGGAAGGGACAGCACCCTGCAGCCCTCGCTGGCTCATCAGCCTAGAGCTCGGGTCCAGCCTCGTTGTTGCTTTTCTTTCTCCTCCTCCTCCTCCTCCTTCTCCTCCTCTTCCTCCTCCTCTTCCTCTTCCTCCTCCTCCTCCTCTTCCTCCGTCCTCTGCTTCTCCCTCCAGTGGCACATATAGACTGCAGGCCCTTGTGGACACCAGGACAAGTGTTCCACCTCACAGCTATATCCCCTGCCCCATTTTTTTCTTTTAGTCCAGATCCTGTTATATTCACATTTGCTCAGAAAATCCTAACCAAAAAAACAAAACCTAACATAAAAACCTTTTCTCTTTAGTAGGGCATGGTTGTACACGTCTATAATCCCAGCACTCGGGAGGCTGAGGCAGAAGGATCATGGCAAGTTTGAGACCAGCCTGGGCTACAAAGTGAGCTCAAGGCCGCCTGAACTGCATAGCAAGACCCTATCTCAAAAAGACAAAAAAATAAATAAACCAAAAAAATAAAAACCTTTTCTCCACAGCCCCACACACCCTAAAATTCTTCCCAAAACAAAACTGATTTGAACCATTTCTAGAAAAAGGCAGGGGGTGGGTCAGTAACAAATTAAACAGTTGAAATGGAAAACATGGCGTGAGTGGGTGCCTATGTGCACACAGTGGGCCTCAGAGTCTGATGGTCAAGGGCAGGACGCTGTTCAGCATGATCACCATGCCCTCCTGCACCACCTGTAATTCAGCGTAGAGCACCTGCCCTACATAAGGCCTAGGTCCCATCTCCAGCACCACAGAAAACATTTTAACCATGCCTTTGTGATTTTTCAAGTGATGGATTAAGTAATGTATCCTGACGATACTAGTAAAGTAAGCCAATTATAGACCCATTTGTGTTACATGTATTTTACCTAAACCACTTAATCTGCAAAACAACCCCAGAAAATAGCTGTTTTTACAATCCCTGTTACAAATAGGGAAACTGAGGCTAGAGAAAGTCTCTTAACCCAAGGTTGCATAACCAGGCAGTTGTGAGGATTTGACTTCAGACTTCTCTCCTAAGCCACAGGCTACATTAACACTTGGGTGATTCCTTCCAAATTTTAAAAATTTTTTCTGTTTATTTTGTTTTGAGACAGTCTCATTGTGTAGTTCATGCTGGCTTTGACCTCACTGTGTAGCCCAGGTTGTCTTCGAAGTCTTGGCAATCCTCCTGCCTCAGCCTCCTAAGTGCTGGGATTACAGGTGTGCGCCACCATGCTCAGCTAGAAAATTTTGAAATAAAACTAGCCTCTTTTTTTTTGTAGCAAGGATCGACTCAGGAGCACTGTACTACTGAGCTGTATCCCTTTCCCTTTTCAGTTTTGTTTGTTTTGAGATAGGGTCTCACTAAATTGCCCAAATTGCTCTCTAATTTGGTGATCCTCTTGCCTCAGCCTCCTGAGTAGCCAGGATTACAGGTGTGTGCAACCATGCCTAGCTGTGTTCTGGTTTTTACTGCTCAGGACCCTTTTGACATTCATTGCCTCAGTTTCACAACAGGGAAACAGATTGGGATGGGAGTGACGTGCTCAGGGTCCTCCTGCAGCTGGTGAGCTGGGAAGCACTTGTGCAGACATCCCGTACTGTGTCTGGAGCCCCAAAACGTTGCCCAGCCAGGGCTCAAGTTACAGCGTAGCAACCAGAATCCTGGAGATGGCCGAAAACTTGCCACCCCTCACTCCATAGCCCCTCCTTCCTGCCCGCGGCAGAGGGGAGGGGCAAACGTTCTGGCTCCTCTCGGGGTGCCCTGTCCCCTGTCCCCTGGGCTCAGGAGTGAGCTGAGTGCTGGGACAGGTCTTGGCGGGGCCAAGTCTGGGGCAGATGTCCTGAAATAGGGCCGCAGCCCCCTCACCCCTTCTGTGCACCCCTTCTCCTCCCAGCGCGCAGAGGCCGCCCAGCGGGAAGTGGAGAGTCTCCGGGAGCAGCTCGCCTCGGTCAACAGCTCCATCCGCCTGGCCTGCTGCTCCCCGCAGGCACCCAGCGGGGTAAGGATGGGACCCAGGAAGGACATGTTTCCGGTAGAGACGTTTTATAGTTTTAGGGTTGGTTGTGTGTATCTCTGCAGTCGCGAGCACCTAGATGCCAGGGTCGGAACACGGTGACCTGTAGTTGTTGAGGCTCCAGCTTCCATAAGCCCCTGTTTAACCGGAAGTCTAGTATCTTCCTTGGGAGTTTTGCCTCAGCCCTACCGGCCCGAAACCGCCGGGATCTCTCAGACCAGAGGTCATTCTGGTCGCCGCAGGAAGGCGGGGCAGTGTGGCGGAGCCGTCCTGGTGGCTGCCACGAGATGGCGCTAGTGGGCCGGGGCCTTGCACAGCTTGATTGCCCAGAACCCAGAGGCCAGGCTGGTTCCCAGCCTGCATATCATAGTGTGAAGTTTCTCACCACTGCTCAGCCCTAGGTCCCCAAAACCTGCAGAATGACTCCAGCAGGGTCTTCCACCCCAATCACACGCTGTGCAGAAAAACCTCAGTCATCAGTCCTGAGATCTGAGTGTTCCTCCTGATGATTTGGCCCTTTGGGGTCCTGCTATCATTTCGATTTTTGATACAGGTTCTCCCTGTGTAGTCCAGACTGGCCTTGAACTCACAGTGATCCTCCTGCCTCAATCTCCCTAGTGCAGGGATTTTAGGTGTGTGCCACCATATCCAGCCCTGCTTTCCTTTTTTGACAAAGGACTTTGGTCAAAGGCACCGCATTGAACCCCTCTGCTGTTGTTAATGGTCTCCATCGCTGCTCCAGAGAGCCTGGGGTTCCCTGTGTAAACCAGGCAGCCTTCCTTTCCGGATCACTGTACACTGAGGCTGAGCCTCACAATCCCTCCCGCAGAGTGATCTGCAGTCTCCACCTGGGAAGCCTTCTTCATCCTGCCCGAATCCAGGCTCAGGCCTCCATGTGTCTCTTTGTGGATTGGAGTGCGTATGTGTGCGTGGGTGTGGGTGTGAACGTGTGTAATCGTGTGCGTGTGTGCTTACCACTTTTGGACGTGTGACCATCCTTTATTGGAGTGTGCCTCAGCTTCCTTATCCATGCAGATACCATCTGCTTCTGGGGTTACCAGAGGACCACTGTGGAGCTCCCCAAATGGTGCCCTGCTCCTAGTCCATGCTTGGCACCTTTGATCATCTTCTCATGAGACCACATGTCCTCTTTGACCTAAAACACGTGTGTCTTCTTGATGCCTGCGCATTTCCACGTGTGCCTGTGAGTGTGAGCAGCCAGGGATGCACGCCTTGTCCGTCTGTCAGCGTGTCTGTGTCTCCGCAGACGGGTGTGTGTCCATGCACCCGGCTGGCTGCGCCGCACAGAAGGAGCTGTGAGTGAGAGCAGAGGGTGGGCAGGGCTCCGGGGGATGCCTCAGAGAGGAATTTACCAGTGGCTCTTAATTAACCCCCTTGGAGCCCAGCAAGTGCTGTGCTAATCAGCCGCGGGGAGCTGGGCTGGTTTGGGAGGTGAGCTTTTCCGAGCACAACAGTGGCGCTCGATGCTAATTAATTTAATGTATTAATGGCATCCGCTTCCTGTTTTAATTGGCATTTATCTCCATGGAAGAAAACTGAGGTTGGTAGTGGTGGGTTTTGTGTGCATGTGTGTGTGTATGTGTGTGCGTGTGCTTTAGTGCTTTATAAGTGTATTTGGAGCTGAGTGTGAGACTGGCCGACTTGAGGTCCCTCTAACAGTAACTTCTCCATCTTCACCTGGGGCAAAGGGGCCATTCCATAAAGCTTGGAGAAGCCACAGGGTTGGGGGTTATCAGCAAATAGACGAAGGAACCGTCCTTGGTGTGGCCTGTGGCAGCGAGGTCACTTGTCTAGCCCTAAGGGTCCCAAACAGGAATGTCACCTGGGGTGAGACCTGGGCTAACTTGCACCTGGAACTTTTGTCCAAGATGTTCCCTCTGCTGCAGGCACTCAGGGCCAGGTCTGGCTCTCTGCCTCCCTTTGTGGTGGCTCTTTATTAACAAAGTTTTCCATTGCCACGAGGCATACCTGAGAGGTGACTTAGGCTCGATGAAGTGTCAGTGTGAACTCAGCCTGTGCCAGCATCCAGACCCACATACACAACCTTCCGTTCTACTTGGGATTTGGGGGAGGCCGGCCAGCACAGCCCCTCAAAGTCCCACTCTGCCCTCAGGAGAAGGTGGGCTTCGCACTGTGCTCAGGGCCTCGGCTGGAGGCGGCCCTGGCCTCCAAGGACAGGGAGATCCTGCGGCTGCTGAAGGATGCACAGCACCTCCGCAACTCACTGCAGGAGCTGGAGGAGGCCTCGGCCAGCCAGATCGCCGACCTGGAGCGGCAGCTCACAGCCAAGTCTGAGGCCATAGAGGCAGGTCCTGGGGGAGGAGACGGGCGGGTCCCCAGGTGGAGAGGCGGCCCTGAAGCCCAGGGCCAGCCCCACACTCTGGGTTTCACTTCCAGAAGCTGGAAGAAAAGCTCCAGGCCCAGTCTGACTACGAGGAGATTAAGACAGAGCTGAGGTACAGGCTCTCCGACCCCCTCCCTCCCTCTCTACCTCCTGGCGGCTGCTCGGATGCTGTCTACCCCCATCAACACCTGTCGGCAGGGTCATGCCAGGTGGCTCTCTTGTCACAGGTGTGGTAACCAGGGACTGACGTTCCATGGGGTCAGTCAAGATGCAGCTGCCTGCAGGGACATGGCATGCGTTAGCAAACCTGGACTCCAGGTGTATGACTGCATGGGGCAGCCACATGGTCAGTGCTTGGTATCCACGGGGCACCACAGCCAGGACAACCAAGGATGCCAGAACCTTCAGATGCCAGAGTCCCTTACAGGACACATCCTCCTGGGGACTGGAACCCCTTCAGATTCCTTATGGCTCCTAATACAAAGTCTGCACCCCAGCTTCTTCACAGGGATTCATGCAGTCCTCAGCACAGCTCGAGGCAAATTCAAGTTTTGTTTGTTGAAATTTTTGGAAGCTTTCTTTTTCCAAATGTTTTCCATCCATGATGGATACAGGGGGCTGCCCTCTGCCTGAGCGGTTAGGGGTCAGTGCCTCTGGTGAGGCCTCTCCTCAGGCCTGGGGCCTGCCTGACTTCAGGTCTCCACTTTTTCCCCAGCATCCTTAAAGCCATGAAGCTGGCCTCCAGCACCTGCGGCCTGCCCCAGGTGAGCATCCCTGCCATTGTCTCTGTCCCCAAGGGCAGGGTGCCCCCCACCTCCTGCCAGCCACGACCCCTCAGCCCTGCTTCCTGTCTCCTCAGGGCATGGCCAAGCCCGAGGACTCCCTGCTCATGGCGAAGGAGGCCTTCTTCCCCACGCAGAAGTTCCTTCTGGAGAAGCCCAGCCTCCTGGCCAGCCCTGGTAGGGGAGGGGGGATGAGCTCAGGGTGCGGGCAGTAGGGGGTCCCTGGCACCGAGGACCACCGCCTCCCATGAGTCAGGAGAGCCGCAGGGCAAGGGGGTGCCCACTGATTAGCACCGCTGTGTGCCAGTGGTGCAGTATGCGCAGTCAGGCAGTGAGGAGTCAGGACTCCCTGTCCCAGGTTAACTGCTGGGCCCCAGCTCACGAGCAAAGACCCATGGCGGGAGGACCTCCCGCAGCCACACATCCCTGAGATGGGGGAGGGTTTCGAGAACTTGGGGTGCCTGTCCTTGCTGGCACTTCCAGCCACTGGACACCCACCGCCATACCCCCCCCCCGTCTCTGTCCCCTCTACCGCTCTTTCTCTGAGCTGCTGTCTCCCGTGTGTGTCCTTCTGTCTTTCACTTCCTCTGTCTCCTTTTGTCTCTCACCCCCCCCCACGCTTCTGTCTCTCCTACTATCTCTGTCTCTCTCTTTATCTCTGCCCCTCTCTCACATTACCTCCTTTCTGTTTGTGTCCCTTTCTTCCTGGTTACTTTCCTTCCTGGTCCCTGCATCACGGTCCACCTCTCTGTCCTTGCCTGTCTGTCTTGGCATTCTAGAGGAGGACCCATCAGAAGACGACTCCATCAAGGATTCGCTGGGTGCCGAACCACCCTACCCCTCCCCACAGCAGCTCCCACCTCCGCCGGGGCCTGAAGACCCCCTGTCCCCCAGCCCTGGGCAGCCCCTGCTGGCCTCCGGCCTTGGGCCTGATGGCCCACGGACTTTCTCGCTGTCCCCCTTCCCCAGCCTGGCCTCAGGGGAGAGACTGGCCGGGGATGCGCTGCTGCCCAAGCACGTGATGCCCCCGGCTGCCTTCAAGGGGGAGGCAGGCAGCCTGCTGGTGTTCCCGCCAGCCTTCTACAGCACCAAGCCCCCTGCAGCCCCCGCCACCCCAGCACCTGGCCCCGAGCCCCCCGGACCCCCTGAGCAAGCAGATGGCGTCGGGGGCAGCACAGCGGCCGCCGGGGCAGAGGAGGAGCAGCTGGACACGGCGGAGATCGCCTTCCAGGTGAAGGAGCAGCTGCTCAAGCACAACATCGGGCAGCGGGTGTTTGGCCACTACGTGCTGGGGCTGTCGCAGGGCTCAGTCAGCGAGATTCTGGCCAGGCCCAAGCCCTGGCGCAAGCTCACAGTGAAGGGCAAGGAGCCCTTCATCAAGATGAAGCAGTTCCTGTCGGATGAACAGAACGTGCTGGCCCTGCGGACCATCCAGGTGCGGCAGCGAGGTGAGTGTTGCCTGGACCTCGTGGCTGCCACCACCACCCAGCCGGGGCAGGTGATTTTGCCTCCTTGTGCCTCAGTTTCCCCATGTGACAGCCCCTGGGGGTCCTAAGGATGAAATGGGTGCCAAGCACTGAACACAGCACCTAGCAGTAGTACCTGCCTGAGAACTGCCAGCAAAGGGAGTCGTCACCACCACTACCATTGCCACCATTGTTTACGAGTGTTATCTCAGGCCCGAGTCACCGCACAGGCACAGAGTCCACAGCCCCACCACACACTGCGGCTGGCCCTCATCCTGGCACCAGAGCCCCTCACATCCAGCTATGGGACAGACCACCCTGCCAGGCCTGCGACAGATGCCCTCTTCCTTGCCTCCCCCAGGCAGCATCACCCCAAGAATCCGCACGCCGGAGACAGGCTCAGACGATGCTATCAAGAGCATCCTGGAACAGGCCAAGAAGGAGATCGAGTCGCAGAAAGGGGGTGAGTGTGACCTCGGCCAGTGCAGCCTCCTCGTCTGCTTCCACCCACCCCAGGGACTTCCACGCATTGAGAACCTCGAGAGGCCAGGGGATCTCTCCAGGTCACACACATGGTCACAGAGCCCTTCCGTGGCCCCCTGCTGCTACTCCTGCACCACTCCAGGCTCTGACGTGAAAGCCTATAGTGCGTCACACCAGCCCTGGGCGCCTGTGCGGTTCCCTGTGTCTCTGATGCCATCCTCACCCGGAAACCTTTACCTTAACCCAGGTGTCACCTCCTCCAGGAAGCCCCTGTCCCTGTCCAGGTGGACCGAATGCTGCCCCTTCTTGGTCCTCCCATAATGATCCATAATGCTTGGTGCTGTGAAGTCAGATTGACCACAAACGCTGGCCCTGTATTAGTCATGTGACCGTGGACAAGTTACTTACCTCTCTCTACCTGCATCTCCTCATCCTCAACATGGGGCAGCGTTAGTACTGCTGCTTTCTGAAGTGAGATTATGCCTGGCAAGCGGGAGTTGTCACCCGGCAGGTGCACCACTAAGATTGGTCCAGCCCATGTTCTCCTTACTGCCTCTCTCGTTACAACTGCAGTCTCCAGCAACTCTGTTGGGGGGGGGGGCTGTCCCTTACCCTGTCTGGGGCTTGTTACAGCCAGGGACCAGTTTAACCTGCACAGCATAGCGCAGCGCAAAGTAGACCTCAGCCGGGAAGCTGGGCACTGGGTTTTGCAGTGTCTACTGCCCCCTGGTGGCTGCTTGGAGCAAGTGTCCTGATTTCCCAGCCACTTGCTCCGAGGATCACAGATGTTCCCCTAGGACCCGCCCTCTTCCTGTTTACAACAGTGACAGATTTGCAGGGCACCGTGGTCACACCTGTAATTCAACCATTTAGGAGGCGGAGGCAGGAGGATTGCAGCTTACTCTGGATAGACTGGTCTGGGCTACATAATCCAAGGCCAGCCTGAACTACATGGCAAGACCTGTCTAAAAAATCAAATCAACAACAACAAAAAACAGTGACACACACTAGAAACAACTTACACTTTCAGCATTATATAACACAGATAATACCTCCTCTGACTGCATATGCAGTCAGTAAACGTGGAAGGGTTGTGTTGTGTGTTTTGTTTTGTCTTTGTGAGGTTTTTTGGTTTGGTTTGGTTTTTTGAGTACTGGGGATTGAACCTAGGGCCTATGCACTGAGCTATAGCCCCAGTCACTGGTTTTGTTGTTGCTGTTGCTTTTAGTGTTTGTTTGTTTTTTGAGACAGATTCTTGCTAAGGCATTAAATTGCCCAAAGTGAGCTCAAATTTGTGAGCCTCCTGCCTCAGCCTCCCAGAATGCTGTAACCACAGACATTTGCTACCACACCAGGCTGAGATGGATGAACTTCTTAATGACAGGAGAAATTGCATGCCTGTAACCCCAGCTTTTGGGAGGCTGAGAGGAAAATCAAAGGCCAGCCTTGCCTGCATAGTAAGATCTTGTCTCAAAGAATCAAAATGAAACTGTTTTTAAAAAAAAAATTAAAATGATAGGATAAATCACTCGTGTTGGTTCTCATTAGGCACAAACCAAGCCCTTTCCCCATATAAGTACGATCATATGATGCATGTGGTATGTGAACCACACCTGAAGAAAACCATTCAGATATTTTAGGTAGTTGCCTTGGGAAGAAGATGATTAGGGAGTCTCATCCCACCCTTCTCATGCTTTCTTTGCAGTGTGTGTGTGTATGTGTCCCTGTTCACCACAGTAAGCATATGTGGCCTTTTTAAATTGAACTTATAGAAAATTAAGGTAAGTCAGGCCTAGTGGCATACTGACAATCTCAGCACTCTGAAAAGCTGAGGCAGGAGGGTCAGTTATAAGTTTGAGTGTACAACTTGGTGACTTAGCAGGACCTTGTCTCAACATCAGAAAATAAAGGAGAATTGATTTCAAAATTGTTAACTCTGTGTGTGTGTGTGAACAGAGATCAAATCCAGAGTTACCCTACCATCAACGTACATCTCTACTCTTTTATACTTTTTCTTTTTGAGACAAGGGCTCATGACTTTCCCAGGTGAGACTCAAACTCCTCCCACCACAGCCTTCCAAGTGCATGTGCCACTGTGCCTGGCAAGCGTTAACAATTTTATATCCAGCTGTGGTGGGGCACACTTGCAGTCCCAGCACTTGAGAGGCTGAGGCAGGAGGGTCACCACGAATTCAAGACCAGCCTGAACTACATGGCAAGACCCTGTTTCAAAACCAGAGACAAAAAATTAAAGATGCAATTCAGTGACACTGAATACAGTATGATATTATGCAATCATCACTTCTTAACTACAGAACTCTCTCACCCCAAAAAGACACCCCGACCCTGTGGGTACTTCCCATTCCCCCTCCCTAGTCCCTGGCAGCCCCTAATCTACATCTCGCTTTTGTGTGTTGGAACACCTGCCTGGAAGTGAGATCTTGGATCAGGGTCCTTGTGTGTTGGCTGTTCTTACTTAGTGCCTTGTTCTCAGGGTTTCTAGGTCATAGCGTAGATCAGTGCTGCTGTGTTCCCTTTTATAACTAAATAATGTTCCATTGCTGGATCCCGGATTGTGGGACCCAGGAGGACAAGCTGCCTTAGGGTTGTCCACGTGGTTGTCTTTTCTCAGGCACAGATTCATCTGTCCTTAGTTGGTGACACTGCTGTGGTAGCTCTCTGCACATCCTTCCTCTGTTGTGTGTTTATACGTTCATTTTTCTTCTTCTTCTTTGTGTGTGTGTGTGTGTGTGTGTGTGTGTGTGTGTGTGTGTCTTTTTCCTTTTTATCGGTACCGGGGATCGAACTGATGACTGCCGTTGAGCTAAATCCTCAGCCCGTTCGTTTTTCTTTCATTCATTTGTATAACAGAATGAACGCTGAGAGCCTACAGCCCAACCCAAGATTTGTAAAACTCCTGAGCTTTTAGAAAAAACTCTAGCTTAGCCAACCCTGCCTGCTCTCCCAAAAATACCTTCATTCTAAAATGTTTTCATTGCTCCATTGTGTTTTCCATTTATTTAAAAAAAATTGTTGATTAAATCACACATTGTTTATTTTGCTTTTTTGGCACTTTCTAGAAGACATGCTCATCGTGACCATGTGTCATTTTCAGTGTGGCGCAGGGGTGGTTTTACAGATTGGTTCTCTTTTCCCCGCTGTATAGTATTCCACAAACTGGCCATCATTTATTATCTTTTCTTCTACCCATGGGCATTGGATTTGTACCGTTATTTTGCTTCACTTTTTGTATAAAAGTGTAGGAGAATCTGTTACTGCAGTATTTCTTGTCTTTGCACATTTGCATAGTTACATCACAGCATCTGTAAAGGACACACAGGAGCCATAATTTACTTAATCCCCAATTTTGTGCTTGCTTTGGATTTATTTTGAGGTAGGGTCTGCTAAGCAGTTCAGGCTGGGCTTCAGCTCTGGTGATCCACCTGCCTCGGCCTCGCTGAGTGCTGGAGTTACAGGCGTGCATCGCCGTGCTGGGCAATCCCCAGTTGGTGGCCAGAAGTTGCCTCCACATCCTGCTGGCCTGAACACTGACGCCAGGAACCTCCTTGCCTGACGGGGCCCCCTCCACCCTGCCATCCCACACAGGCGAGCCCAAGAATTCCGCGGCGCCCTTGAGCGTGGCCAACGGCGGCACGGCGGCAGCCAGCACCTCGGAGGACGCCATCAAGAACATCCTGGAGCAGGCGCGCCGCGAGATGCAGGCCCAGCAGCAGGCCCTGCTGGAGATGGAGACCGGGCCCCGAGGCCGCTCCGTGCCCCCCTCGCCCCCCGAGCAGCGGCCGTCGCTGGCGGCCGGGAGCCAGAACGGGGCCCCGGCCTTCGTCAAGCAGGAGGACGGCGCAGGCGGCGGGGCCACCAGCAGCAGCGCCACGCAGACGCCGCTCACCGTGCTGTCCCCCGCCGCCTTCGTGCAGAGCATCATCCGCAAGGTCAAGTCCGAGATCGGCGACGCCGGCTACTTCGACCACCACTGGGCCTCGGACCGCGGCCTGCTCGGCCGCCCCTACGCCTCCGTGTCGCCCTCGCTGTCCTCCTCCTCCTCCAGCTACTCCGGCCAGCCCAACGGGCGCGCCTGGCCCCGCGCCGACGAGGCCCCCGGGCCGCTGGAGGACGAGGCAGCGGCCGAGGACGAGGCGCCCCGGGCCGGCGAGCTCAAGGCGGAGGGCGCCGAGGCGGGCGGCGGGCGGCTGGCCTACTACCCGGCCTACGTGCCGCGCGCGCTCAAGCCCACCGTGCCGCCGCTCACGCCCGAGCAGTACGAGCTGTACATGTACCGCGAGGTGGACACGCTGGAGCTCACGCGCCAGGTCAAGGAGAAGCTGGCCAAGAACGGCATCTGCCAGCGCATCTTCGGCGAGAAGGTGAGGGGTGGGACCGTACCCCTCTCGCCTCCGCACCCTCCGGGCCCCCACCCCAGCACACAGCCACAGAAGCCTCAGGGCTCCCACCGAGGGTCTTCGGTGGGTTCTGCCAGGTCGGTGCGCTGCACTGTTCAGGCTTGAACTCGTGATCCTCCTGCCTCAGCCTCTCAGAACGCAGGGATTCCAGGGTTGTGCCACATTGGACCCAGCTCTCAGCTACTATTAATTTTAAGGGTCACTGTTGCCCGTAGCAGAGGAACAGACAAAGCATCAGGAAGCTCAGAGGAGGGAGAAGGGACCCAAGAGGGAGGCGGGAGGACTTCCTGAAGGAGGCCCAGAGGGGCTGTGAGGTATGGGGCAGGTCCTGGGCTGGAGACGCAGTGCAGCATGTGGCAGACTCCTGGGGTGCCAGGAAAGCCAAGGCTCAGGGGCCTGCTTCCTGCCCTGCTGTCCCAGGTGCTGGGCCTGTCGCAGGGCAGTGTGAGCGACATGCTGTCCCGGCCGAAGCCATGGAGCAAGCTGACACAGAAGGGGCGGGAGCCCTTCATCCGCATGCAGCTGTGGCTCTCAGACCAGCTCGGCCAGGCCGCAGGCCAGCAGCCCAGCGCCTCCCAGGGTGAGTAGGGCAGCCCAGGACTGCGGAGAGCCCGCACCGGGCAATGGTGCTGGTGTCCGACTGTGCGCCCCACACGCGTCCCTCTGTCTGCCCTCACCACGCTGGCTGTGTCCTACTGTCCGGGGGGCCCTGTTCCATCTTTCTCTCCACCAGAAGGATGCTTCCTCTTCCTGTGAGGGTTCGTGGAGCCCTGGTTTTATGCCTCTAGGGGTGCCAAGATGCCCAGGGAAGACAGGGAAAATATTTTGCCCAATTTTGGGGATTGATCCAAGCCCTTTTCCCTAAAGATCTGTTTTGCAGCCTCAGAATTCTCCTCAGCACCCCTATTCCCCATTCGTTAATGATGGCAGGGGACAGAGGAGCCCGAGCTTTGCAGGCGTGGGGAAACTGAGGCTTGGAAAGTTGACCAAAGTCACAGCGTGGAGGGTGGGAGGCCAGCTCCCTCCTGCCCTGATGACCTGCACTGCGATGAGGCCAGTGGCTATGGAAGAGCCCGTCTGAGCTGCCCACTGGGACCAGGGAAGGGAAGGACCTGGAGTGCCAGTTCCTGAGCCTAGCCTCAGTTTCCCGCCCTGGAAAGTTTCCCGCCCATGAGATAAAACCACAATTTAGAGTTGCAGAAATGAGGCAGATTGGCAGGGTGTAGTGACAGAGTTGCGGACAAGAAACCTAATGTCAAGTAACAAAAGTCCAAGTCCCAGGTGCCAGTGTGGACTGTAGCAGTTCCACCGATGGACAAGAACTCCCTTTGATCCCCTTCCATCTACAAGAGCGCACCTTTGCTGTCCTTGCCACCTGCAAGTGGGGAAGGGCGGGCTGGCCCCTGCCGGGTTTAACTTAGTTCATTTCTGTTGGTTGAGCTTGTAGATCATCACCAACCACCAAGTTCCTTTCCATGCTTACTGTTGCATTTGACGAAAGGGTTGAAACAGAGCAGCGAATTCCCTGTTCGCAACACCCACCTTCGGCTCCTATTCCATTGCTCTTGGGGAGCTGGGTGGCCACAATGTGTCCCTTCACCCGCTGCTCAGCAAGTGCAGCTTCCCTCAGGTTCTGCGAGGCGCTGGTTCCAGGGTTACCAGAAGGCACAGGTGCTTGGCCCCTCTGCAGTGTACTGTGGTATTTCCCAGTACATCCCCCATTACCGTACATCACCTCTAGTGACTCAGATTTCCTCATGCAAGGTAAATGCTGTGTAAATAGTTGGCATGTTGTATCATCTAGAGGACAGTGAGGAGAAAAAGGTCTGCACCTATCCAGTACAGACAGTTTTTGTTGTTGTCCCTGTTGTTTTCACAGTCTCGCTGTGCAGTTCAGGCTGACCTTGAACTCATGGTGGTCCTCCTGCCTCAGCCTCCTGAGTTCTGGGATTATAGACAAACACTACCGTGCCAGGCTAACACATTTTTTTTTAATCGGTACCGGGGATCGAACTCACGACCGCCTGCTTGCAAGGCAGGTGCTTATGCTGCTGAGCTAAATCCCTAGCAAGGCTAACGCTTTTGATGAGTGGTTGTTTGAATATCTGAATATGGAACCTCAGAATGCAGAGTCCATCTGAAGAGTCCCAAGAAACACAGAAATGTACTATGATTCAGTAGTATTATATAACCCACCATCTATAGTCACCCTAAAAATGTCCTTTGTATATGTTCCATATATGAGCTCTACTGAAAGTGGCTGTTTCCCCTTCGTGGCTAATAAGCAGCTCATGGACACACACTTGGAGCCTGCGTGAGTGTCCTGGGATGGTCCCTTCCTGGGATGTCACTGTGGTGGTTGCAGAATGGGTTGGTGCCAACTCTTGGCTCTAACCAGCTGCCTGCCTCTCATCAAACTGTGTGTCCCTGCTGGGTGGCGCTGACCCTTTTCTGCCTCTTCATGTGATCCACAGCCAGTCCCACAGAGCCCAGGTCCTCGCCGTCACCACCTCCAAGCCCCACAGAGCCTGAGAAGATCTCCCAGGAGCCTCTGAGCCTGTCGCTGGAGAGCAGCAAGGAGAACCAGCAGCCAGAGGTCCGCTCTGGCTCCATGCTGAGTGGGAAGATGTACTCGGGCGGCCAAGCCACAGGGGGCATCCAGGAGATTGTGGCCATGTCCCCAGAGCTGGACACATACTCCATCACCAAGAGGGTCAAGGAGGTCCTCACGGACAACAACCTAGGTACGGGCGGAGGGGTCAGGTGTGCTGCCTCCCGCCCTAGGTGCCCCTGCTTGTCTCAGAACGTGACCCGGGGTGCCCACTCTTCCAACCTGGGGGTGCCGCCAGCCCTGGGCATCCAGGAGTCTGCACAAGGGCTCTGACTCTAAACCTGACCTTGGTCCCTGTAATGGGACGAAAAGGTGAAGGCGGTCTGATGCTAGCTGGACTTCTCACCCCACAGCTCTCAGAAGCCCAGTGCTTGAACTGTGGAGACACAGAGAAATCTGCTACAGGGCTCTCCCTCCCTCCCGCTCTCTCCTTCCCTTCTTCCCTTTCTCTTTCTCTCTCTCTCAAACTCCTCTGTGTCACATATGTAAAGCTTTTCTCTCAAAGGGATGCATGGAAGCTCCCAATTTTTCACTATAATTTTTTTTGATACTGGGAATCAAACTCACAACCTTGCACTTGCCAGGCAGGCATTGTGCTACTAAGCTATATCTGCAGCTATAATTTCTGTTATTGTCTTGGTTAGTTTTCTCTTATTGCTGGGACAGAATACCTGACTTCCAGAATTAAGGGGGAAAAAAGGTTTATTTAACTCACAATTTGTAGAGGTTTGAGTCTGTTGTCTGCCAGTCCCAAGGCAGGGTGGCATGGCACAAGGCAAAAGTTCATGGTGACAGAAGACAACAAAAGCAACAAGAGCAGAAAAGGGGCAAAAAGCAGCAGAAGAAAGGAACACGAGAGAAGACTCTGTCCCTGCTCACTGAGGGGCAGGGGTAGCACTGACGCCCATAATCCCGGCCCTCGACAGTGAGTCAGTCACAAACTCCAGATTCAGCCACCGCCAAAAAGCACCCCCTCCATGCCTACATGAGGCTTTGGGGTATCATCTAGACACAGACCATAAAAATTACAAAAATAAAACATGTTTGCTGGGTGTGGTGGCACACACCTGTAATCCTAGTATTTGGGACCCTGAGCCCGGAGTTCAAGGCCAGTCTGGTTTACATGGTGAGTTTAAGAGCCAGCCTGAATTATGTAGTAAGACCCTGTCTCAAAAAAAAAAAGAGCCAGGCATGGTGGCGCAGTCCTGTAATTCCAGCCATCAGTAGGCAGGAGGATCATTACAAGTTCGAGACCACCGTGGGCTACAAAGTGAGCCCAAAGCCAGCCTGAACTGCACAGTGAGACGTTGTCTGGAAAAGAAAACCCATGTTCATTGTTTATTTTAAACTATAAAAACAAGCCAGGGATTTAGCTCAGCAGCAAGGTGCCTGCCCCACAAGCCTGAGGTTGAGAGTTTGATTCCTGGTACCAAACAAAAGCAAAAATATAACAAACAAGCAGGGCATGGTGGCACATGCCTGTAATCTCAATACTCAGAAGGCTGAGACAGGAAGATCACCTCAAATTCAAGGCTGGCCTGAGCTACATAGTGAGACTCTGTCTCAAAACGAACAGACAAAATTTTTAAAATTAACAAAAAGGGCCAGGGGTTTAGCTCAGCGGCACAAGTGCCTACCAAGCATGAAGTCCTGAGTTCAATCCCCAGTACCAAAAATAAATAAAATAAGCTGGGCATGGTTTTGCATACCTGTAATCCTGGCACGTGGGAGGCTGAGGCGGGAGGATTGCTATGAGCTCGAGGCCAGCCTGAATTGCATAGTGAAACCCCACCTCCAAAAAAAGTCAAAAAAACTTAATTTAATTTTAAAAATACCAAACAGTATAGAAAAAAATAAGTTGTAAGTAAGTAGAGGCCAGGAATGTGGTACAACCCAGTGGCAGAGCTTTGCTTAGGATGCACTAGGCCCGGGGTTCCCTCCCAATCACTGCAGGGAATGAAAAAAGCAAAGTAAATAGCTCCCCCAGCCGCCACCTTAGCTTTCCGGCTTCCGTGTACCCTTGACACTTCTGAACACACATGAGAATGTGTGTGCCCCTGATTCCTTTTCTTCTCTCTCTGTGGATGGACTGAGGCACTTGATTTCTTGCTTTTTTGTTTTGTGGATGCCCTTCACGACACAATGATTGGATCACCCATATTATTTTTTCTCCAGCTATCGATGTGCCATACTTTTAAAAATTTTATTTAAAGAAAGATTAAACAAAACAGAAAATGGTAGAAATAATACATGTGTTCAGAGAAAAAATAAACAGTAAGAAATCACTAGTTAATATTTACATACTGTCTTTTTACAAATAGTTGTTCAAGATACAAAAGTGGAACATATAAAGTGGGAATTCAAACAGCAAGACTACAAACCGTTCTGTTCAACTATCCAACAAAAACTTAGTAAATGATTGTCAATCCTATACATTTAAACACACATGCAGTTATTCATATCTTCATTTTTGTTGAGATTAAACAAACTAAAGCAGGCTAAAGTCATTCTGAACAAAAAATAATAGTATTGCTGGATTTCACATCATGACACTCCGGGATCAGCACTGGCTACTGTAGTGTCTTTTTTTTTTTTTTTTTTTTTTTTATTTAAAGAAAGATTAAACAAAACAGAAAACGGGTAGAAATAATACATACTTTCAGAGAAAACAGTAAGAAATCACTAGTTGATGATTACAGATTGTCCTCTTACAAATATTCATTCAAGAGATGTGCCATACTTTTTTACCCAAGTGCTGGGCATTCTTGTTTTCAATTTTTTTGCTGCCTTTAAAAATACATTTAGGAGTCAGAGATTTAGCTCAGCGGCATAAGGGCCTGTCTGGCAAGCATGAGGTCGTGAGTTCAATTCCTGGTACAAATAAATAAAAATACATTTGGGGCTGGGGAGGAACCCAGTGGCAGAGCACTTGCCTAGCATGCCCTGGGAGTGACCTTCAGCACTAAAAGAACGACTATACACCCCTCTGTGCCCTTGGGCAAGTATTACTTCAGGTTCTATGCCGGCCAGTGGAACTGCTGGCTCAGAGGATGCGTATATTTAAAGTTTTGGGGCTGAGGATATAGCTCAGTGGCACAGCGCCAGCCTTGCAAGGATGAGGTCCTGAGTTTGATTCCCAGTACCAAAAAAAAATTAAAATACAGTTTTTGATGGGATCTGCCCAGTTCTCATTAAACAAGATGATAATGGGTGTGTATACATGAAGTCTGGGGGGCTCCAGAGGTGAAGAAAGAACCTCTTTCACTGAAAAAGCATTTTTATCAGTTGCTGTCTATCCTACCCCCCAAAATCACTTTTACAAGAACGTTCCCCCTGGGTGTGGGTCCCCCACACCCCTGGCCCTCCCTTCCGAGTTGGAGGAGCACCCTGGGCTCAGCCCTGCGGCTCAGGCCTGGGGAGTGGTTTCTCTCCAGGCCCAGTGTAACAGGCTGCCCCCACCCCTTTCCCCAGGGCAGCGGCTGTTTGGGGAGAGCATCCTGGGCCTGACCCAAGGCTCCGTGTCTGACCTGCTATCCCGGCCCAAACCCTGGCACAAGCTGAGCCTGAAGGGGCGAGAGCCCTTTGTCCGCATGCAGCTGTGGCTCAATGACCCCCATAACGTGGAAAAGCTGAGGGACATGAAGAAGCTGGAGAAGAAAGGTAAGCGCTGGACAGAGAAGGGCCCTAGCGCTGGACTCTGTGCGGGCCTCAGAGCTTCCCCTTGGGTCTGAATAAACCCGTTAGGGGACTGCATGAACTAGCAATCCCAAAAAAACGCTGTAACTGAGCACAATTAAAGTAGATACGTCCTTCATGAAAGTTCAGTCCCCTATCTCTCTTCATATTACTTCATATATGGTGGCTGTGCCATAGTGTTTTGGAGAGACTGAACCCAGGGCCTTGCACTGAGCTACAATCCCCAGCCTTTTTAAAATTATTTTTGAAACAGGGTCTGATGCTGTGTAACACATGCTAACCTCCAACTCAGCCTCCCCAGTGACAAGGTCTCAGTCACTAATTGCCCAGGCTGGGCTTGAACTTGCACTGTCCCTGCCTCAGCCTCCTAGAGTGCTGGGGTTACAGGCATTCACCCCACACCAGGCTGCTCTCCGAAGTCGTGCCATCTTCATCTTTGTACGTCCCCAAACACTCCGTGCTCCCCTCCTGCACCTCAGCTCTGTTACGGAGTCACCCCTTTTGCCATAACCCACGGTCTACCCAACATAGGAAGCACTGACCCAGCACACAGGAAGGGAAGCAGCCGGAGTCCCATGGTCCCCTCCATGGGCACAGCCCCTGAAACCCTCCCAGTAGGGCCTAGTCGGCAGCCAAGCTTTTAACACACTGGGCTTTAGTGACGCATGATGATGCCCGCCTGTAATCTCAGCACTGGGGAGGCGAGGCAGGAGGACTGTGAGTTCAAAACCAGCGTGTGCTACCCAGCAAGACCCTGTCTCAAAAAACCTGCATGGGCGTTCGCAGGACAGTCCGGATCCAAGCGCCAGTGGTGCTTTCTTTTTCTCCCACATTTTGGTGATTTGGGATGAAGATATACCGTACAGTAAATGGGTTCACTTAATGCCCATCACCCCTCTCCCCACTGAAGACTGTGGTGAAGCTCAGGGACACCTCTGACAGTCAAGAGGGTGTCATAGGCCATCCTTGTTTTGAGCACTTCCCACAGCGAGGCGCCCAACCAAGCCCTCAGCGCAGACTGACATTCAGAGCCACGAGTGGAGCTGTAGGGTAGAGGGGCCGGGAGGACGTGGGGAATGAGTGGGGCAGGCCAGTGCCGCCATGGGAGCGCCCTGCTCGGTGGACGCACAACCACCCAGCCCCTGCTATGCCTGGGGAGCGGCGCGGGCAGCGATGCCCCTCCAGCCTCGCTCCCTCCCGGCGCAGCCTACCTGAAGCGCCGCTACGGCCTGATCAGCACCGGCTCGGACAGTGAGTCCCCGGCTGCGCGCTCCGAGTGCCCCAGCCCCGGCCTGCAGCCGCAGGACCTGAGCCTCCTACAGATCAAGAAGCCCCGCGTGGTGCTGGCACCTGAGGAGAAGGAGGCGCTGCGCAAGGCCTACCAGTTGGAGCCCTACCCCTCGCAGCAGACCATCGAGCTGCTGTCCTTCCAGCTCAACCTCAAGACCAACACGGTCATCAACTGGTTCCACAACTACAGGTGGGCGGGGTGGGGGAGCCTCACCTGGAGCCACCAGGGACCCCAATGGCATCCCTATCATAGAGCTGTTCCAAGGATTTGAAGGACTAACACACTTGCATGAGCTGCTCTGCGCATAGCCGAGTAGGCAGCCACCTGGGGCGGGTGTACAGTCAGTGCCACCCATGCAGACTTGAGTCCAGGGCTTGTGGGTCCCCCTCCGCCAGCCCCAGGCTCACCACTGTCTCCGCTCCAGGTCCCGGATGCGCCGGGAGATGTTGGTGGAGGGGACCCAGGATGAGCCAGACCTCGACCCCAGTGGGGGTCCTGGCGTCCTGCCGCCAGGCCACACCCACCCGGACCCCACCCCACAGAGCCCAGACTCGGAGGCTGAGGACCAGAAGCCCGCTGTGAAGGAGCTAGAGCTGCGGGAGGGCTGCGAAGACGGCGGCGCAGCACTGGCTGGCCCGGACAGGGCGCACGTGCAGATCAAGCAAGAGCAGACCGAGGAGGGTGCTGAGGAGGAGGCAGGCAGCCAGCCCCGGGACTCAGGGGAGCCTGACAGAGGCCGCGGGCCTCCCCCAGAGGAGCAGCCCGGCCCCCTGGGCAGTGAAGAGCTCCCGCAGGTGGCCACAGGGCCCCTCCCGGGCGGGGCCACCCCAGACTGCCCCTCACTACACCCTGCCCAGGAGAGTGAGGCCAGGGAGCGGCTCCACTCGGACCCTTTAAGTTTTAAGTCAGCCTCGGAGTCCTCACGCTGCAGCCTGGAGGTCGCTCTGAACTCACCCTCAGCAGCATCCTCACCGGGCCTCCTGATATCTGTGTCACCTGTCCCCTCTTCCTCGGCCCCCATCTCTCCATCCCTGCCCGGCGTCCCCCCTGCCAAAGTGCCGAGTGCCAGCCCCACTGCTGATACAGCGGGGGCCTTGCACCCCAGCGCCAAGGTGAACCCCAATCTGCAGCGGCGGCACGAGAAGATGGCCAACCTGAACAGCATCATCTACCGACTGGAGAGGGCTGCCAACCGGGAGGAGGCCCTGGAGTGGGAGTTCTGAAAGCGGGGTGAGGGGGCCAGGGTGCCCCCCTTGGCCACCTACTGGCACTCACTCTTCTGGACAGAACTCCCCATCCAAATGTGGACAGCAATGTTATGCCGTTTATGTTTTTTGTTGTAATCCTAGAGCTACAAAGTTGTGAGTGAGCAGGTGAGGCAGATGCACTGCCCCCTCCTTTGGCATCCCCTGCCCAGGGGCGCCAGGAATCCTGCCCCTCCTTCCCACCCTCACCCCTCTGCAAGAGGCAGGAGCAAAATGGCACCACATTTTCACCCCAAAACTCCAAACTCTTTTAGAAAAAAAATAAAGAAATATTTATAGACCTCTTTTAGATATTTTAATAAAGGATCCTTTGGAATTTATTCCCAGCCAATGCTGTTTTGATATTACAGAGAATTATGAAATCAGGATGCTGTCACAACTGTTGCAAAGTAGACACTGAAATTGTGTCTTTTTTTTGCCACTAGATGAGATTAAAAGAAGATAATTGTTCAAAGCCATCATAAAACACTATAAGACTGACCAAATTTAGACAACCTTTGAACCACGGTTTTCCCCCCACACCTGTCTGTGAGACACAGTGCGTTGCTACTGCCCTTCCAGAAACCGTGCAGAAAAGAGAAAAGTCCAAAAGACTCTAAATAAAACCTCGATGCCGTTGAGGACGTGTTCCGTTCTGGTGGTCTCTTTGCAACCTTGGTAACCCAGACTGTCCTGTTCTGCGGTCAGTGTTGTGGAGATGTGGCCAGGTCGTCCTGTAGGAGATGCAGCACCGTACGACACAAACTGCTCACACTCTCCGAGCCAGAAAGCTGTGGGTATGGAGATCAAACATCTCTCTCATCCATCTGCAGACAAGACCTAGGAAAGCTGGGTGTGGGGGCAGGTGTCAGAGAGCCATGCTTGAGCCAGAGTGACCCCACTTCCCAACCTGAATCATGGCCACCCCAGGAAGTTTCCCCACGAGGATGAGCATGAGCATCCCCGAGAAGACTGCAGCTGCCACCTCCCTCCTGTGTTCACTGGAAGCAGCAGTGTTGATCACCCCACAAGCCCTAAAGCTTAACAACCAGCACCAAAAAGTAAACTCATCAAACCAGAAGCCCCCAAGTCTTTGGTCTTAGGTTTGAACTTGGAAGTTCTCTGCCAACTTGGAAGATATCTCTGGAAGGCACCCGCAACTCCAAGTCCATATGAAATCCAACTCCAAGTCCAATCTTGGAACTTGGAAGATATCTCTGGAAGGCACCCACAACTCCAAGTCCATATGAAAGTCTGAAAGGCCAAGGTCATCACAGCATATCCACTGTCCCAACGTCCACACTCACCTTCCTTTCCAGCGCATGGCCTTCTGGGAGCAAAGACTCAGCTCCCCAACTCCGAGGAGCCCTTCTTCCAGCATCTCTGTCACAGCTTTTAGGGGGACATTGCACCATTGTGGAATGGCCACCATATTCGTTTTTGAATCCCTCTTGTTTTCAAATTCTGTGGAAGAGCCAAGTTGGGTGACTTCCCAGAAGGAACATGAACAGGTGACCATAACTGATGCCAGTCCAATGTCAGAGGGAGAGGGACAGAGTGAGATGGATTCCATGAACATTTGGAACCACACAGGCAAAACCCCATGACTAGCAAGGGACAAATGACAAGTATACTAGAATCTCATGTACCCAGCCAGGCTGCAGTCTCCACACCAAAACAGCTGACGTCCAACACTCCCCGAAGGAGAACCTTCTTTTCCATACACCCAGGCTATGCATTGAAGAGTTTTCCACTGTAGACATTTTTATCCAGATGAAGGTATTTTTATATTGTGACAATAGGAAACAGTGACCAAGTTTCAGAGTAACCCTGTCTGGAACAAACAAAACATCTCCTTTTAGCCACGACCACCCTGTTGCAATTAGACACCCATGAGGGAAACACCACTTTTTACTCTTGAAACCAATAAAACCTTGAAATCCAGGCTTCCATGCAGACTCCGATTCAAGAACTCACTTTGGCTTTAGTGTGACGGGATTTGATCAAGCACTTAGTCTAGTCTTTTGAACACAGAAATCCTGTTGTACTTAAAGCTGCCGGACCTGTGAACACCTTTGTCTGGTTCACGTCCTGCAACGGTAAAGAATAAAAATTTAAAAAATTTAAAAACTCACAAAACCGTTTCTATGAGAGATTGATGAACTTTGTTTAAAGTTTAAAAAAAAGGAACACATTCTGTAAACAAGTCACTAAATACAGAATTGTATAATAATTCTGAGTGTCCTGCTTTTTTGTCCTAGAGTTGGGGGTGCAAAGTAGGGGTTGCATCTGGCCTTCAGAGGTGTTCCACAAAATGGTATTTCTAGAAATTACTTTTTGGCACTACTTGAGAGGAAGAGATAGGAGCATTATTACCCTGAGGGGGAAAAAAGTACAAGCTTCTCTTTAAAACCTAAGGACGGTAGGTCACATTCTAATGTGACAACAGCCTGCTGAGGGGTGACCTCTTACAGACAGGGCCCGTGTCATCTCTTGCCTGCCCACCCGGGCCACCCGCTTGCCTGTGGCACCTGATTGGCATGTGTACTCTGGGCTCCAGCCGCGGCTTCGACTGGTTTGTAAGCTGTGCAGTGTGGGAGCCTTGGCAGCCCAGCCTGTGCCGAGAGCCTCCCACCACGTGTAACTCGGGCCTCGGCTTCCTCAGTTGCAGTTTGGGGGTGTCACAGCAGCTGGCTCGGAGCAGCCTTCTGGGGAGCGATGCTTGGAGCGTGTGGAGTGTGAGAACCACTGCACAGAGCCTGAGACACACACCACTCATCACCGTGAGAGGCCCGGGCCTTCCACTCCTGTGCCTCAGGCTGCAGGAGGGTGTGTGTGTGTGTGTGTGTGTGTGTGTGTGTGTGTGTGTGAACATTACTCATCCGTGAGCCAAAGCCACATGGTGTCCCAAGATAAACACCCCCTTCCCCCAAACCTTCCACTTGCTCCTTTTTTCCACATGGCCTTACTGTGAGACTCAGGTGACCTTGTCTCACCTAGGAAACTATGCTCTCAGGCCAGCAGGACGCTCCTCAGGATGCTGGACACTGGGGGCCGTGGGGCTGGGGCCAGCTCCAGTGCCATCCCCAGTGGTCCCTGGAGGGTAGGAAATGCCTCCCTGCTCCCTTTATTCCCTTTATGGGCATAAAGCTCCAAAAGTGGCCATAAAATCTGAACAACAGAGAGACTGCTCTTTCGGGGCCTCAGAAATCAGACAGGGACGTGGCACACACTGTGGTCCCAGCTACTGCTTAGGCTGAGGCAGGAGGATCACCTGAGCCCAGGAGTCTGGGGCAGCCTGGGCAATATGAGACCCTCCTCAAAAACGGAAGGCAGGCAGGCAGGCAGGCAGCGGACGGGGTCTGGGTCATGAGAGCTACCTGAGAGCCTGAGGCAGCCCGTTGGCTTGAGACTGACGTCACTGCAAGGCGGAGACTCTACTGTGGACATCTTATTGGAGTGAAAACCGCAGGAGAAATGGAGGGACGTGAATTGTGGGGCGCAGCTGATGAGGCCCCACGCCTTCCATGAGGAGATGCGTGTGGGCGGAGGGACAGGAGAGCGGCGGCCATGTCAGTGCTCCCCACCTGCTGTGTGTTCCCTACTTCGGTGGGATCAATGATGGAAATGCAGAGCCCTCCCCCAAGGCTTCCTGGGGGGCGGGGAGACACCAGGCAGGCACTGCTACCAGGTTCTGGGGTGCCAGGCTCCTCCTAGAGGTGCTTTCTAGACTATTATTGTGAACAAAGAACTGGACAAAACAAGAGAAAAGATAGCAAGGTTTTTACGTGGGGTTTTTTGTTGTTGTTTGGTAGGTTTGGTCTGTTTGTTTTGTCTTTTGAGACAGGGTCTCACTGTGCATTTCAGGCTGGCCTTGGGCTCACTTTGTAGCCCAGGCTGGTCCGGATTTTGCAAGGATCCTCCTGCCTCAGCCTCCTGAGTGCTGGGATTACAGACGTGCGCCCCCACGCCTGGCTGGTTTTACCTTTATTAAAGTAGAAAAAGAAACATGCTCTGCAGAGCAAGTTTGGGCCAAGTAAAACTAGGAGAAACGATACAATGCAGTGTGGAAGCAGAGTGCCGTGAAATAACAGGGCGCCCCGGCAGTCGCCTCAGGACCCACTCAGGTAAGGTCAGGTCTGGGCCGCCCCGTGGAAACTGCTCCAGTTCTCGCGAGATTGGAGCTCCCACTTGGGCACTGCGCGCAGCTTCGGGAACGGTTCTGCGCATGTGTGCTGGGACTTCCGAGCCAGGCTGCGGTGTCCCAACCTTGTGCTCCAGCGCTTGCGCGATCGCAGCGAGAAAAGAGGGGCGAGGAGAGCGGAGTGGGAGGTGGCTCAGGGCAGGTGACGCCGGCCTTTCTCCTGAGAGCACTGGGGAGTCGTGTTAGGTGTGAGGCGGGGTTGCTGTGGTCAGAGTTGCACTTCTAGGCCGAAGTTTGCATCTAGGGAGACCGCGGCGGGCTGCCCCACAGGTCCTCGTGCCCTCGCTGCCCACAGTGCCCTCCTGGCTCTGTTATTGTTGCCCTTGTTTGTGGTACTTGTGGGATTGAACCCAGGGCGCTCCACCGTTGAGCTGTGTGTTCATTTTGTTTTGTTGTTTTTGAGGTGGTTCTCGCTAAGTTGCTCAGGCAGGGCATGGACTGCATTTGTCCTGCCTCAGCCTCCCAAGGGCTGGGATTACAGGTCACCCTCCCTTGTCTTCTGCTTTGGCTACACCCATTCAGCCTCTCATCCCTGGAAAACGAACACGGCCAAACCTTACTAGCAGCCCCGAGGCTGCTGGCGCCAAATTATTCTCAGGGCAGCAACACCCCGATTTGTGCAGCTGTGCTTGCTCTCACGGGCCTCCGGATGCTGAAGCCGCCGAAGCCAGCAGCCGAGTAACATTGGACGGGGTGCTGTACTCCAGGTAACCTGTTGTCTTTCGTGGCCTGTGACCCTCCCCCATCCACGCTCTGGCACTGATTTGAACTCAGCTACCAGCAAGTTTTAGGGCTTTAATTAGACTCAGTTGGTGTTGGTTGTCACTGCATAAGGAATAATGTCAGGGAATGGAAGGGCTGAGTTCAGATTCGAGTACTACAAGGAAAGAAAAGAGCTTTTCCGAAGCCCTGCCCCAGAATTCCTGGAGCCAGGTCCAGGGATCTGCACTGCATTTGCTGTGCCCCAGGTAAACCCAGTATGGGCTCTGGCAAAACATGAGAGGGAGAGGAGAGCTCAGAACAGTGTGTCTCATCCCCCCAGGAACTCTTGGGTTGAAAGAACTTGCAGCCCAGTGACAGGTGTGGGTACGGCCTGTGAAGATGGGGGACGCCTCTCTGCACCTGTGTGTTCTCACTCCTTACATCCTGACCGTCCTAGTGTGGCTGCCTCGCTGGCCACAGCGTCTGTTCAGTGCCCGAAGATACCTTAGTCTCTGTGCCCCAGCTCAACACTCTCAGCACCCCAGCTGGCTCATCTTCCAACTTGTAAGAGTCATGCCAACTCTTGTCCAGGTAGCTGTAGTCAGGGGAGAACTGTGGGAGCTGAGGGAGCGGTGGGGTGAAGCCAGGCACAGTGCCGCACCCCTTTAATCCCAGCTACCTGGAAGGCTGAGGCAGGAGGATTCAAAGTTTGAGTTCTGGGGCTGGGGATTTAGCCCAGCGGCATAAGTGCCTGCCTTGTAAGCAGGCAGTTGCGAGTTCAATCCCCGGTACTGATAAAAAGGAAAAAGACAAAAAAAAAGTTTGAGTTCTGCCTGGGCAACTAAGAGGGAAAGGGCCCTGCCTCAAAAAAGAGAGAAGGGGGAAATAATAGCTTTGTTGGTCCCAACTTTAGTGCACCAGCAACTCCTCCACCAGCCAGGGCCTCTTTTTTTTTTTTTTAATTCCTTTTTTGTTTTTTTAGAGACAGAGTATTCAGTTTATGCTGGTCTTGAACTCACTATGTAGCCCAAGCAGACCTCCCACTTGTGATGATCCTCCTGCCTCAGCCTCCTGAGTGCTAGGACTCCTGGTGTGCACCACCACGTCCAGCCCAGCCCCCTTGCCCATTCTGAACAGCACTGTGGTACTGAGTGCGTCTGTAACAGGTGACCATCATCGCCGTGTCCACAGCACTGTATACCTTAACCCCAGTTCAGTACCCACGAAGCAGCCTCTTCCCATGTGCTACCCCAGCCCTGTCAGCTGCCCCTCCTCTTGGTAGGATTGTTCCAGAAGGCCATCCACGTGCGGCCCGTGTCAGCCTTTCCTTCCTCTTTAGGGCTGAGTGTTATTCCACCATGTGTGCAGACCTGTCCGTGTCCACCACCTGTGGCTCAGTGGTCACTGGCACTGCTTCCACTTTGTGGCTGTTGTGAACAACACTGCAGTGAACGTGAGTGAACAGGTCACTGTAGGACCTGCCAGACCGTGCTCCACGGTCGCCTCAGCTTTGCGTGCTGTCTCTCCACAGCCTCGCATCATGACTTACTCTGCTGTGGCCACAGCAGCCGTCCTAAGGGCCATGAGGTGGTAACGCAGTTTTTTTTGTTTCTGTTTTTGCGCTAGGGATTGTACACCCCCAGCCCTCTTTTTATTTTTGATTTTGAGACAGAGTTGCTAAGTTGTCTAGACTGCCCACAAACTTTAAATCCCCCTGCCTTAGCCTCCCAGAGTGTTGGGATTATCGATGTGCACCACCAGACTCAGTTTATTTATTTTTTTCTTTTTTTGTCTTTTTTGTTTTTATTGGTACTGGAGATCGAACTTACGACCACACACTTGCAAGGCAGGCGCTTATGCTGCTGAGCTAAATCCCCAGCCCTCAGACTCAGTTTATCTTGGCCCATTTTTACAACTCAGGTTGCTTTCTTCTTGCATTGTTTGGAGTTCCCTATATTCTCTACATTCCAGTGCTTTCCTGGATTGCAAATAATTTGCAGGTATTTTCTCATGGACCCACCTAAAAGCCTTCAACAAAAAATGCAGAACTCGGGGCTGGGGATTTAGCTCAGCGGCATAAGTACCTGCCTTGCAAGCAGGCGGTCGTGAGTTTGATCCCCGGTACCAATTAAAAAAAAATGCAGAACTCCACTGCTGAGCTTCAAGCTGTGTGGATTTCACCCCCAGTGGACGCTGAGACTGTAGACACTGGGGCAGACTGCACATCACAGAATGTGTGGTGGGAGGGGGGCCAGCTAGCACCAGACCTCACCTCAGAGCAGGTGGGAACATACACAGAGCAGGGTCACATGGGGACGTAGTGTTCATTTAGTATTTATTCAGTCTTCACAGGAGGAAGCCTTTTTTTTTTTTTTTGTGAGACAAGGTTTAGCTATGCCATTGAGGCTGGTCTTGAACTCACTTTGCAGCTTAGGCTGACCTTGAACTCCCAGCAGTCCTCCTGCCTCAGTCTCCAGGTGTTGAGATTACAGGTGTGTGCCACCACACCCAGTTGAGGGAGCCTTTTAGTAACTAATCCTGCACACAGCTTCAAACAGAGACATTTATTACGTGGAATAAGATGTAGGACATGTTCCCAGATCCACTCCACAGCAGTTCAAGACCATTTTCAAGTATGTGCCAAGCTCAGGTGTGGCATTTTCTTTCGTATGGCGTACTTCATGACTACAAGATAGCTGCCACAGCTCCAAGCATCACAGGTATAATTCCCTGCCAGAGAAAAATAAAGAGCTCTTTATTGTGCCTCTTTTCAAAAGCAAGAAGACCCTTCTCGCATCTTATGGGACAAAATTATCTTTGGTAGCTAAAGTTTAGCCAGTGCCTGTAAGTCAAACACCAGCAACATCACCAGCTAAACTGGACTAATCGTGCAGGGTGGATGGATGTTGGCAGGGAGTCGTAACCGCTGACCTGTGTCTCTCTCTTGAGGGTCTCACCCTCTGCCCCAAGTGGCTTCTCAGAATATTCCTCCGACCACACAGTTTCCCGGGAACACCTCCCCTGGGCCAGGAGGTAATAGGCACACATTGGCTGGCGGAAGCCTGGTACAGGTTTTGACCCTCTATCTTGCAGCTGTCTCTCTCCCAGTGTCTCCCCACTCAGTGTCCTGTGCCCTGCGACTGCTGTGGTCACCAGCACCACAGGCAGCACCCTGACTCAGCCTGTTTAGGGAGCCACTTCCCCAGCAGCCGTCAGCTATGGTCCCACCAGATGGGAAGAATTACTCAGCATGTAAGTGGCACAATTCCCCAAGCTGAGGTTTTGGGGTTTGTTTTTGAGACAGGGCCTCACTGTGTAGCCCAGGCTGGCCTCAAACTTATGATCCTCCTGCCTTAGCCTCAAGTGCTGAGATTGTAGGTGTGCCACCATGCCCAGCTCACAGTTGACTTGGAAGTCTTCTCTCCACTCTCCATAGGATCCCAGTTTTACTCCTGCTCTGCTGTTTTCTAGCTGTGTATTCTGGGCACAAGCCTAGCCTGTGTAGCCTCTGTAACCAGAGTCTCAGTTTCCTCATCCATACAATGGGGCAGCACCTGCCCTGAGGAGCATACAAGGTTGTAAGATCAAGTCTGACCCAGGATCAGTCATAAGAGTCCCTTAGAAGGTCTGCTGTAGGCTCTGCCACCAAATTAGTCCAAGATTTTGTTATTTGAGGGGTTTTTGTACTGGGAGTTGAGTTCAGGGCCTTTACAATGAGCTATATTCCCAGCCTTTTAAAATTTTTGAGACAATCTGTTTAAGTCACTAAGGTACCCAGGGTGGTCTCAAACTTACGTCCTCCTGCCTCAGCCTCCCTCCCAGACTTGGGATTATAGACTTATGTCACCATGCCCACCTCAGCAGGGGTTTTGATGGCAGTCACAGAAGACAGGCACTGTTTGACAAAACATGTTTATTTTAGCCCTTGCACCCCCTCCCAGGCTGCCACCTCTCTGGCACCTAACAGCAGAGGCAGTGTGACCCCACCTGTGTGCTCTGCAGGAGGGGCACATTCCCACCTCCACCGGGGAGGTGGGGCCTGCTGTACCTTTAAATGTGCATCTACAGCTTGGCCCTGAGCTGCCCCAGTAGGGCCTCCCGTGCCCCAGAGTCCCTGCACAAGAGCTGCCACCACCATCCACATGCAGGCCTGGGGAACTGTACCTGACGCCAGCAGCCTCTGTGGGGAGGAAGCTGGGCTGCTGGAGGGAAGATGACCAGGGGAGCCTGGCCCTGCAGGTGCCAGGGCAGCTCAGAGCTTCGGGGCCTCTGCGTCACCAGCTAGCCAGGATGGCCAGGGTGCCAGTCCTGCCATCCAGCACCCAGCAGAGCTGAGAGCCCTGCTGCCCCGAGAAAGCACACCTACATATTTCAAACTGAACTCAGCAGCCCAGCCCCAGCCCACCGAGCCAGCAGAGAGCTGGGGGCCCTTGACTGCAGGCAGAAACCTCAGGGCCTCCAAAAACAGAAGGGGCAGGGGCTGAGTGTGTCATCACCATGAGTAAAGTTGAGGTGGGGGTAGGGGGTTCCCCAGTGTGGGGCAGTGAGGACTGTAAACGTCACAGGACCCAGGGGAGGCTGGAGTGTCCCAACCCCTGGGGCTCAACCTGGATGAAGAGCTGTGGGGCACTGTGGTGAGTGAGGTCACGCCAGGCTGGAGACAAAGCAATCCCAGTGTCCCCAGGGGATTGCTGGGGTGTCACAAAGGTGACTGGCAGGAGCCAGAAGGGGCTTTGGGACTCCCAACAGCACTGCAGCCACCTCCTCTCTGCCCCTCAGGCAGCACCTAGACTCCTTCCAAGCAGCCAATCTCCCGGAGGCCCCGCCCCAGGCTGAGGCTGGGGACAGAGGAGTGGCCAGGGAGTGGCCAAAAGCCCAGGAGGGCTGCTAGCCTGGGCAAAGTCTTTCCTTGGCTGTTCCGGGAGCCCTGGGGAGCAGAGAGCTACCTGGCCACACACTATAAACTTGTGCCTGCCTCTGGGTCACTGTCCCCACCAATGCCTTCAAAGTGGAAAGTGGGCGGGCCACTCTGGGGCAGGTGCAGGAAGCAAAGGTCAGGCCAGGTAAGGGTGCTGAGTGCCCACCCTGTCCCCACCCAGAGCCAGGGCCTGGCAGCAGGGCAGGGACTAAGCCACAGGTTCTTGTCAGGCTGGCTCAGGCCTGCAGCCAGCAGGAGGCCTGCAGGGTACCCAGCCCAGGCCTGGGGCTCAGTGTCCTAGAAACCAGAAGTCAGGCTTCCTGAGTGCCTCCAGGCCAGGATTCTCTCGGAATCAGACACAATGGTTGCCTCACTGCTGGGTCTTTGGAGTCCTACGATGGGCAGATGGGCATCTTCCCAGAGCTTGAATCCCCTGAAACCGCAGATCGGGGCCTTGGGGTGGCCTTGACCACTGTTCCTGGGGCAGAGCTTTGGGGCCAGGCATACGGGACTGAGGCTGCCCCCAGGGACCCGGGCGATTTCAGGGCAGGCCGCGGCCCCCAAGCCACTGGACCCTGAGCGCTCGGACCTCCTGTCCGTACCAGTCGTGCAGCTGCGCAAAGGGCGCCGAGTCCAGTGGTCTGTCGGGCGTCGAGGCCCTGCGGCGGGGCGGTATCGGGGGTCTGTGCTGGCCGGTGGCGGGGGGCTCCGCGCTCCACACGGCGGAGCAGCAGCCGTTCTCTCTGGGCCGCGGGTGCAGGGCCTTAACAGCACCGCCGTTGTCATCGGCACCCTCTGGGCCGCGCATGGCCGCCAGCTGCTGCTCCAGCTCGCGCACCACCAGGCGCAGGTAGTGGAAGCTGGCGCGCGACAGCGCCTTCACCCAGCCCTCCAGCGCCGCCTGGCTCTCGGCCGCCAGCGCGTAGCAGCGCGCGTGCGCCCCCGCGAAGCGCACGGCGAAGGCGAACTCCTCGGCCGCCTCCACCAGCTCCACGGTGCAGCCCTCCAGCACGATGACGCCCAGCGGCTCGCGGCTGCCCGGGCCCTCGAAGTAGAAGAGCATGTTGCCGCGCAGCACGAACCAGCGGCGGTGCGAGGCAGCGTGCCTTCCGCCCTTCTTGTGCAGGAAACCCGCATGGTCCACCGGCGCGTCGCACGTCGCGTAGAAGGCCAGGCTGCGCTCGTTCAGCTTCATGGTGGCAGCGCCTGTCCCCAACCCCCCCAACAGCAAGTTATTCACGTGACCTTCCCAGCTGCTCTTATCAACCCTTTTCACAAGGAAGGAAACTGTGCCCCAGAGAGGGAGGCAGCATAGAGAGCTCACACAGCTCCTAAGAAGCAGAAAAAAGGTGCTGGTGAGGTGAGGATGCCTGTAATCCCAGCACTCGGGAGGCTGAGGCAGGAGGGTTACCAAAATCTGGTCAGAGGCCAGCCTGGGCTACACCGGGAGGTGGAGGTCTGCCTGAACTACATAGTGAGACGCTTTCTCAAACAAGTACTCAAACCTGAGTCGGCCTGGCCCCAGAAGCAACTTCATAATGCCCCCTACTGGCCCGAGTCCCCCAAAAGAATGTGAGGCATTCCCACTGCAGGCTACCTATGTAACATATGCACTCAAGTCTCACAGCAAACCGTGGTGCCCAGGAAACTGGCCTAACCCCACTAGGACAGATGAGGAAACAGGCACAGGGCTGGCAGGCATTTGCCCAAGATCACAAAGCACGTTGGGCAGAGGTGAAATTCAACCCCAGCCTCATCACTGGCAGCGCAATTTCCACCACCGGAGGAACCAGAACCCTGGAACAAACTCTGGTTTCTCCATCATTAAACAGGGACACGATGGGAATCTACTCCAGAGCTGGAGGAACTTCCTGTCAGATACTAAGTGCCTGTTGTGTGTCAGGGTGGCTCCAGACACCAAGGACCCAGCTATAAACCAGATGGCCAGGGCTCACCCTCCTGGTGCTGACACACTAGTGCAGCTGAAAGGAGCAGTAATGGACACTCAAGGGAAGGAGGGAGCCCCAGGCATCTGGAGGAGCAGTGTGAGGCAGTGGGAATGGCATGTGCAAAGGCCCTGCAGCAGGAACCTGCTGGTTGGTGTGCTCATGGGGCACCTTGAGGCCAGTGGGGCTGAAGTGGAGTGAGAAGATGGTGAGAGGGGAAAATGAGGGCAGCTGTGAAGCAAAACTGTTTGGAAATAATCTGGAATAAGTCAGGGTGGTGGCTCCCCCGGGAGCACACAAATGAGGCCAGCCAGGCCAGCAGACCCAGGGCGGAGGGCCAATTGCCACCTCGTGCCACCAGCCTGGGCAGTTCCACCCTGGCAGGGGCGATGTGGGTTGCGGTTGCAATCAACTGGTCCAGGCTGAGGCCTGACACACTGAAGGCCCAAAGTGCTTCCTTCCTTGAGCTGCGTAACTTCAACAGGAAGCTGTCCCTCCCTGAGCCACAATTTCTCCTTCACGCATTCCCTCTCCCCTAACTGACACCCACATGGACCCTGACCCCATTTCTCCCAGGTACCTCTTGCCCCACCTGCCTGTTTCCCCGCCTACCTTGCAGGCCGCCTTCTGCCCAGCTCCAGCTGCACTCAGTTCAAGGGGCAGCTCTGCAGTCTCCAGGCTGGGTGGCCCTGTGCAAGCTGTGGGCCTCTCTGGGCCTCTCATCCCACTGCTGGAGAACAGGATCATGACAGTACCTGGTCAAGGCATGTGATGTCCGGACGCTCCTTCTAGTGCACCCTGCCTCAGCCCCCAGATCCAGTCACTAAGGCCAGGTGACTCTAGCGTCCCTTGCTCTTCAGCTCTAGCCACCCCAGCCTCCATCAGATGTGCCAGGCACCGGCCCATCTCAGGGCTCCTCCCTGCTGTCATGCCCTTGTGCGGCCAGGCCTTGTCCTCGTCTCAGCCCAGCCGCCACTCCTCATGAAGCAGCCCCAACTGCGCCACCAGGGAATGCCCGACACCCTCCTGTCTCCCAACCCAAGATTACCAGTGTCATTTCCTCTGCTGCAGGAGGGCGGGGGTCCCTCTGAGCCCCACCAGCTTCCAGATGAGAGGTGCAGATACCTATGGGAGAAATCGTGTTTATCTCTTAGCTCTCAGGTAATTGGCCAAGTAAACAGCCCCAAAGGGACTGATCTTGGGGTCACCCCACCCTATTAAGACTAAGGAGGAGCAACTTCTCTGGTGCCCAGCAGCTCTCCTCTCCCTGCTATCCAGCTGGGGCCAACCTGATCCAAGGTCACCAGTCAACACCAGTCCTAGCTGTGCTGTAGCCCCTGCCTCTTACTGGTGGGCAAGAAAAGGACAGGCAAGCTGGGAGTCCCTAGTCCTGCCTGCCTTATCTCCTGGTGCTGCTTTCCAGCGAGTTCAGAGTCCGACGCTGCCAGTGCAGCCACACAGCACAGGCACCGCTGCTGATTCAACACCTACAGTCACGCAGAAAACTGGGCTGCCCCACCCACCCAGCTGTGGGCCTCAGCTGTCTGGCCTGGAGGACCTTGGATGAGTTACATCACCTTCCCAAGCCTCAGTTTCCTCATCTGCTGTGAAGAGGATTTTCAACAGGCTAAACTAAGGACATCCCACAGGCAAACTAGGGAAAAGGTACTGAAAAATATTAGCTGCTCTGGCTGAGGTTTTTACAGCTGCATCTACACAGGGAGAACCATGGACATCCGTTCCCCTCGGTTAATCCTGAAGAGTCGTTCTGCAAACTGTCTGACAGGTAGCGAGCATTCAGGAAAGGTGCTGTCAAGAGAGGTGAGTTGTTAGCCCAGGGCTCCAGGAAACGGCTGGCCCCGGGTCGAGGGGAAATCGAGGCATGGCATTGCTGTTCACTTCAAGGAAGGAAAAAGCCAAAACCACGAGCCCTAAGGATGAGTCCAACTGACCCGAGAGTCCCCCAAAGTGGGCGTGGGAGAGGGTGTGTCGGGCGCAAGCTGAAAAACATGTTCCCAGCACCCGCAGAGCCGCCGTCCAGCGCAGACCAGCAGGGACCCCAAGGACGCTAGGACAGACGTCTGGGCTCCAGGCAGCCCCTCCGCGGCGGCTGTAATGCAGGTGCGGGCTGCGGCCGTCCCCTTCGTGCCTCGTGTGGGAGCCCCCGAATTCCTGGAGGAGCAGCCTGAGCGCCCATGGGGAGATCAAGGCAGAATGGGGCTCCAAGAGGAGTGCTCGTCCGGGGAGTCCCTCACGGGGTGCGGAAGAGGTCCACCGGCCGGGGTCGCCCGCCCGCCGGGGAAGGCAGGTTCCCAGCAGCGCGCCCTGCAGGCGGCCAGGGGTCGCCGCGGGCCTGACCACGGCCCGCGTCCCCCGCCTCGCGGGCCTTACCTCGCGCGAAGGCCTAGGGCGGTGGCGGAACGGGAGGCGGGGGGCCGAGGGGCGACCGGGCCATGGCCCACGACACACTCGGTAGCAGCGGCGCTTTGTCTCCGGGCGGCCGGCCGCGCGGCCGCGGGAAGGCGCCTCAGGGATGCAAGCAGGCGGGGCGGCGGGACAGTCCGGGACCCCTGCGCGCGCCCCTTTAACCCTCCCCGGCCCGCCCGCGCAGGGCCCGCCCCCGCGGTTTCCCACCCTCCGATTGGTCGGCTTCGCCTCGGCACGCCCCCTGTGAGGCAGCCCCGAAACCATTCTTAAAGGGACCGAGACGGGGTCAGGCGTCCCCAAGGATCTGTTCCAGCAAGTCTGAGGATTTGACCCCAGATCACCCAGTGCAGGCTAACACTGTGGTGTCGATTGGCCAGGAAAAAGCCCTGGGGTCCTAGGAGAGGCCTCATTCTGAAGTTCTAGGCTTGCTTCTGGCTGGGGTTGCTAGATTTAGCCAATTTAACAATGCTCAGCTCCATGTGAAAAATAACCCTAGTTCCCGGAATATTGTGATTTGTTGAAATAAAGCTAACCACAGGACAGACACACAAGACTGCACTAAATGTAAAAGATGCCAGGCAGTCCAACCTCATGCCTCGGAGAGGAGAAAGATCTAGAATTAGGCTGAGGACGAGTCCCACTAGGCTTAATCCACCTTGGAGTCAGGTCTTCAATTCTGAGGCTTCTTTTGCCTCCTGCGAAACAACGACAAGCACCATATATAAAGTGGACTCAGCAGATTTTATCCCTCAGTGGGAATTGTTTTCAGGCAGCGTTGTTTGAATTTTTTTCCCCTGTACTCTGAACTGAACCCAGGACTTTTGCGCTGAGCTACATCTCAAGCTTTTTTTTTTTTTTTTTGCTATGGGCTTGCTAATTGCCCAGGTTGGGCTTCAATTTGTGATCCCTCCTGCTTCAGCCTCCTAGTGTGCTGGAATCACAAGACTGTGCCACTTTGCTTGACTTTGAGTGTGGCTTTCCTAGCAGAGGCTGTCCCTACTGAGATTCCTATACTTTCTGCTCCCAAGGCCTGTTTCACCACTCCACTGTGCAGACAGCAACAAAAGCCCTATACTGAGCAAGAGAAGGCCCTGGGGCCTCTGACCCTCAGGCAGGAGGAGATGAGCCTGGGACTCTGGGATGTGTAACCTTTTTTTTTTTTTTTTTTTTTTTTTTTTGGTATGGGGGATGGAACGCACAACTGTGAGCTTGCAAGGCAGGCGCTTATGCCACTGAGCTAAATCCCAGCCCCTGGGATGTATATCTTGGGGAAGTCCCTTTCTGCCTTGGGCTTTACTCTGCTCCTGGAGATCACAGTCTGGTTTTATTGCTGTTGTTACTCTCATGGCCCTAGCACTGAGCTACAACCCCAGCTCTTATTTCTTAATTTGAGGCAGGATCTCTGGGCTCAAATTTGTAATCTTCCTCCTTCAGCATCCCAGAGTGTACCACATGCCAGCTTCATGTGTCCCCTGGAGGTTCGAGGTTTCATAGGAAGAATCTACAGGGTCCCCCTGGGTGGGAGGACTGCCTGGACGACTCTCCTTGAATAAAGAGCAATTATGTCCGTTTTGACTAAACCTGGCCCTATCTCCATGTGCTGACATGTGCAGGGCTGGCCAGGCCAATTCCTTCTCCCTTCAGTTGGCTTTAGGCAATGTAAATAGAGCCGGCTGAGGTGCTGTTGTGTAATCTTACAGTTATGTTTCCCCACCCTGAGACTCCCCAAAAATATGGTTGAGCAAGCGGAGTGAAGAGCCATGGTTCCAGTGCTGTCGGCTGGGACTGAGCCTTGAGATAAGAGGCTCTGACTTCCCAAGGTGGAAAAGTTTACATCAGAGCTGAAGCACTGACCCCAAAACATTAGATATTCCCTCAATTTGGTTATATAGATTAGTCCTGCTTCATATCTTTCTCTCTGCGTGTGGCAAAAGTGATTTCAGGTCCCCTCCCTAGCCCAGCTCACAGCACTCACATATCTCCCATCATTCTCACAGTTACTCATCGTCAGGCCACTCCCTTCTTCATCAATAAATAAAATCTGGGTTAGGCTCCAGGCCTTCATTCCCATGAACCACCATCTTGGCTGGATTTAGGACCTATTTGGCTCCCCATAACTATAAATATGCCTTAATGTCGTTATTCTCACTGTAGGTTGCACTGCAGGTGGTAGATTGAAATTCTTTTTTTTTTTTTCTTTTTTTTTTTTTTTGTCTTTTTCATTTTTATCCATACCGGGGATCGAACTCACGACCACCTGCTTGCAAGGCAGGTGCTTATGCCGCTGAGCTAAATCCTCAGCCCCAAGATTGAAATTCTTTATTGGAATTCCAATAACTTTTCCAGGGGATTAAATATAAACTCTCTGAAAGAGACAAGTCCCAGGAAAGTCTCCTTATAGTCTCCACCCATGGCCATGATGATTGGTCCAGGGATAGACATGTGACCTAGGCCAAGCCAATGGTACTCAGTCTGCCTCATTAGAGGAGGAGCCGGCAGAAAACACAGGCAGCCCCAAGAAATGCTTGAAGAGACCCCGGATCAAGCTCAACCTGCAGTCACCTCCTTCTCTGCCCAAGGAAGGTAGCATTGCCAGAGATCTAGATGCTGCCAAGGGAAAAGCAGCACCTACACATGGACACATGGGCCTTGCTGTGGGAACAATCCCCCAGGTTTCTGAGTCTGGGTCATTGGAAATGCCCCAAATCAGCCCAATTTCGATGCCTTTGTGTGTGTGTGTGTGTGGGGAGGGACCTGCGGGGGGGGGGGGTCATTATTCATTTATTGAAACTGATATGAAGAAGCACATAAAAATTAACTGGTTGGGCCGGGGATGGCATAGTGCCTGCCTGTCAAACGCAAGGTCCTGAGTTTGATTCCCAATACAATAAAAAAAAGTTAACTCTTAAAGCAGACAGCTCTGTGGCATTCAGTACACCCATAATGCTATCAATCTACCAATTCACAGTTACATACCGTTACAGTCCCAGCTGCTTAGAAGGCTGAGGCAGGAGGATCACAGATTTGAGGTCTTCCTCAGATGCATAGCCAGACCCTATCTTAAAAATTAAGAAATAAAATGGGGTGGGGATGTAGGTCAGTGAGACGGAGCCCCTGGGCTTGATGCTCAGTAGTGTAATAAATAAATAAATATCACTTCTATTTAGTTTCCAGATCTGGGGAGGGGGTTTGAGGGGATTAGTTGAGACTGTGCTTGAACTCACAGTGCCTACACAGCTGGCCTGGAACTTGTGGCGGTTCTCCTGCCTCAGGCCCCGCAGTCCTGGCATTATGGGTGTCTACCACCACACCTCACGTAGTCCCAAGACACTTTTATCACTGCAAATGGAGACCCTGTACCCTTGAGCATCCCCTAATAGTTCCCCTTTGTCCCGGCCCGGGGAACACCAGGCTATTTTCTGTCCCTGGATTTGCCCTTTCTGGACATTTCTGGGGAGGAACCAAACGTGTGGCCCTGTGTGCCGGCATTATTCCCTCCCCGGCGTCCCCAGGGCCCATTCATGCTTTGCCTGCGTCCGGCCCTCTGTCTCCTTCCTGGCTTTGTCCAGACAACCTGCATTCAGTTTGTCTACCTGGCCACGCGGACCTGGGGCCACTGTTCGGCTCCCAGGCCTCATCGGGCGTCTCTGTGGCTGGGGACACAAAAGGTATGGGGAAGGGATGGTGAGTCAGAGCACCGAAAGGGGAACTTGGGAGCCAGAACTGGGCTGTGGCCGCCGTCACCAGCTCCTGATGGTTTTTACCTCTGAACCGCGTCTGGAATCCATCACTTCTCCATCTCTGCCGCACTTCCCCATCCTGGGCCATGATTGTCTCCTGCAATGGTCAGCAGCAATGGTATCCTTTCGGGTTCCACTCAGACACCCCAATCCCCACATTTGTTCTCTGGGAGTGGCCTGAAGGCTCCTCACAGAACATCTGGGACATGGGTGACAGCAGCACCCCTGCCAAAACCTCACCCTGCCCCCCACTGCCCGAGGACCAGGTCCAGGCTCTGCCTCTTGAGCATCAGTCCTGGGCTCCAGCCACCCTAGAGCCTCTGTCCACTTAGCATTGGCCGCCTGTCCTCCTGCCATCCCCAGAATGCACTGCACTGTGGACCGTTACATGTCTATGGGCCTCTGCGACAATTTCTTCCTGCACCCTTCCTGCCCCGATGTCACCCTCCCCAATAGTCACCTCTTGCAGGAAGGCCAGCAACCCTCCCACCCCCGCCACTCATCTCCCCAGTCTTTCAGTCCATCCATATTTAGGGAGCACCACTTTGTCCCAACCCCAGGACACAGGCTGGTCATGGTGGAATAAAAAAGTACTCCAGGAGTAAAAGGTTCTAAAAGAGGAGGCGTTTTGGTGCTAGACTAGATTCACGTCCCAGCTCAGAACTGGAGTGAGCTGGGGCAGTCACTTCACCTGAGCCTGTTTCCTCACCTGGAAAATGAGGGTGGAGGGGTTGTCAGAAGGATTCAGGGAGCTCCTGTCCTTTCCTGACTTACTCTCTCCTGAGGAATTCTCTGCCGCTGGCCTGTCTCCTGTCACATCTGTCACACTCACTGTTTTCCTCAGGCCCGATGGACTCAAACAGAACTGGTGTCAGATAGAAGAGGCCAGAGGGGACCTTGGGGCGCACAGTGCAAAGCGGGCCCATTGGTGCTGTTTGGCCGTTGTGAAGGGGATTGGCTGACTGCTGCCGGGAGCTGAGAGCCGGCTTCCACTGAGGCCGGGTTGGTGCTGGGGCAGCGGCATCTGACTCAGTTTCTCTGCCCCCAGGCTCGTTTTGCTCCGGTCCCGTTCTCAGGCAGCAGTGGGTTTCCCAAAGCTCTGGGATCCTATGCTCCCAGCTCTAAGCCCAGTGCAGTGAGATAGCTTCATACTGGACTGTCCCTCCCGCGCTTTATGGGTCTCTTGAGGTCACCTGACTCTCTGAAGCAATCACTGGGGTGGGGGCAGAAGGATCGGTCCCAGGGACTGTGTGGAGGTGAGATACAGCGCCTGCCTGGCAAGCCTACGGTCCTCAGTTGAATTTCTGGTCCCCCCAGCAAAAAAAAAAAAAAAAAAAAAAAAAAGAGCAAATGGGGAAACTGGGACCCGAGCCCCCATTCTCAGGATGTAACCTCAGAGCAAATGGAGTCCAGCTTGAGGACAGCAGGATGGACGCCCATCTCTGCCATCAGCTTCTGCTTCTGAAAGCAGTGCCAAGTACTTCCCTCCCTCCTCCTGCCTGTGCCAATGGCCCCTGCTGCCTCAGAGAGAGAAGTGACTTGCTTAGGGTCACACAGCCAGATATAGCTGTGGCTGACAGCTCTGGCCACCCAACCTGAGCCCAGTCGAAGGTCAGGAGGAGCAAGGGACTGGAGTCCAGGTTTCTGAAAAAGCCGGGCATGGTGGCACCAGTACTCAGGAGGCTGAGGCAGGAGGATCACCATGAGTTCGAGGCTAGCCTGAATTACATAGTGAGATTTTGTCGTAAAAGAAACAAAATTAGATTTCTTAAGGGAAGTGACTCAGGTGCCTGGGCTCTCAGATAATCCCTTTCATCCTGGTGATTAATGACCCAGAACCCCCTGAGGGTCCCACAGAGGGTGCAGCCTTCACCATCAGCTGTGACTGTCCTTAAAGTCCCCACTGCTTGGTCACCTGTAACCTCTTTTCTGGCTTTTCACCCCACCAAATGCACTGCCACTCTGAGCACTGTCGCCTTCCTCTTGGGCCACCACCCCTTCCCACAGCCCCAGACCCTGCCTGAGGCTGGCAGGGATCAGTGGCCTCGAACCTGCACCCCTCCCCATGTAGCCAGTGAGTCTGCACTGCAGTGAGGCTGGGCCTGAACCTGGACCCTTCCCCATTCGGTGTTGTATAAGTGGTCTGCCTGTCAGCTCTTCTTAGCATACTCTCAGGCTTCCTCCACGTGCTGCATGTGGCAACTACTGTGTGTTTGTTTGCACACAGGCTCCCAACGTCTTTAGGGCTGAGTAATATTCCATTTATGTGCTGATGTCACATTTGCACTGTTTCCATCTTTTACCTGCTGGGAACACTCGGTGCTGCTGCGGAAGTCAGTGGGACACAGTTTGTTAGAGTACTCATGTGCCATTTGCCTGGATCTATACCTTTAGCTAACAGTTTTAACGTTTCAGTGCACACAGGGAGGGAATCATCAAACTTTTATTAATCCATTTTTCAGAATACAAGAAGTAACCAAGAGCCGATTGTGGTGGATAGCCATAATCCCAGGACTGGGGAGCCTGAGGCAGGAGTATTTCAATTTCTACACGTTCAAGGGCATCTTGGCCTACATGGTGAGACCCTGTCTCAAAAAAGGGGGAAGAGGGAGCCATGCATGGACCGTTCAGAATGAAGAAAAGACATGACACATCAGATTTGTGCCTTGGGAATAGTTGCTAATTGTATAATAGTAGACGACATTTATTGAGCACTTACTGTGTAACAGGGGCGCTCTACGTGCATTAACTTTTTAAAAACTACATTCTGCCCATTTTACAGATGCAGATTTGTGAGCTGCATCTCCTCACCCCTTGGAGACTACACTGCAAGTAGGGCTCAAACCTGGGACCCTCCTCCTTCAGCCTGCCTTGGGTGCTGGGATGGCTGCAGATGAGGATTTGAAGCTCGCATCACTTGTCCAAGGTGCCCCAACAATAAAGGGAGAAGCCAGGAATTAAGCCAGGCCCTCGTCCTCGGCCTCGGTTGTCATTCAGCGGCCGATCAGAGGCGCCCACCACCGGATCTGGAAGGCTGGGGAAGGCTTGTGGGAGCCAGGTGGGAGGGAAGGGACCAGCCTGCGCGCTTACAGCTCTCGCGGCCGGCTTCCGCCCGCACCCCCAGGACGCCACCAGGGGGCGCCAGATTCCCATTCATCCCGCTGCCGGCCTGACCAAGCGGAGCGGCGGCCCCGGAAGCGCGTGGCCGCGCCGGGCCTGACGGGCGGGGACGACTGCAGTCCCGGGATTGTTCGCCCTCTATGGAGCTATTAGGCCCTTTAATTACCGGGATTGGAAGTGAGTAATTATCTGCGGGGCCTCAGGCCACTGAGTCACTTCCCTCAGAAGCCAGATTCTGCCGCTGGCGGAAGAGGGGGCGGCTGGCAGCTCCCCAGCGGGTCAGGAGTTTGGAGGGGGGCAGTGCGCCGCTGCCAGGGTTGAGATCCGAACTCTGCAGCCTGGGTGCGAATCCCTGCTAGGCCACTTACAGCCCTCTGACTTGGGCATGTCACGCCACCACCCCGTGCCTCAGTTTCCTTCTCTGGCAGAGGGAGGAGAAACAGTGTTGTCTCCTTCATACAACTGTGTCCTTTGCCCAATGGGCAAAGGAAATCATAAATCAGCAAAGTTCTCCAAACAATGCCAGGCACATCATGTCCTAATTAGTTGTTAGCCAGGAGTGATGGCACACTCCTATAATCCCAACACTAAGGAGGCTGAGGCAGGAGGATCCCTGCCAGTTTGAGGCCAGCCTGACCTACATAGTGAGACCCTAACTAATTCCCCACCTCCCCAAATAACTTGTTGATTCTGCTATTACTGTCTGAATTATTATCAGTGTGGCACAAGGGGTGGCTCTCCAGTCAGTTGCTTCAGTCACTTGCTGGCAAGCTATGTGGCCTTGGGCACACCACTGCTCTGTGCCTCAGTCTCCTCACCTGAGAAATGGAAGGCAAAGACTTATCCTCTTCCAGGGCAAGGACTTGTGACAATTTTAGAGCCAAAGAAGGCACTGAGAGGGCCAAAAACGGAACCCAGGCCACCCGGAAGGAAGGAAGCAGAGGGAGCAGACACTGCCCAGCACCTGAGCTCAGCAGATTAGATCCCAGCCCAGGATTCTGGCTTGGGAGCTGTGAGACCGCCTAGAGAAAAAGAGGAAGGCCCTAGTTATGTAATTCTCTTCTGGCCTGGGCAAACCTGTTAGCCAGGCTTAAGCCAAACTACCCTTTCCTGAACCCTCCCCATCCCAGCTGGACTTGCTCATGGAGAAGGGTAGATTGGCCTGGACATCCCAGAGCCTTTGTGAGCTCTGTATTCATTAGCCCCTGCTGCATAACAAGTTACTCCCACACTGAGTGGCTTAAAAGAAGCCAACCTTTATTATCTCATATGGTCTTAGGATTCATTCAGGCACAGAGCTTTTGTCTTTTTGCTTTGAGGTACTAAGCACCAAACTCAAGGCACTTGCAATGAGTTCCTCTCAGCCCTTTAAAAAAGTATTTTTGAGTTACCCAGGGTGGGCCCAAGCTTGCAATCCTCTTGTCTCAGCCTCTCAGAGTATGATTACAGCCTGCCCCATCACACCCAGCCAAGCAAAGCTTGGTTCAAGCTGAGGCTTAAATGGTCTCATGAAATTGTCTGAATAAAAGGGCTGAGGCTGCATGGTCCACTTCCAAGATGGTGCATCATGGAGCTGCTCTTGCCAGCTAGTGGCCAGAGGCCCCGGTTCCTCATCCTGCAGGCCTCTGCTCACAGTTCCTGGAGTGGGCTCCTGGTATGGTGGCTGGCTTCTCCGAGTGGATGAGTTCCAGACAGAACAAGAAACCACTGTGCCTCTGAGAACTTTGTCTCTGAAGTCACATGGTATCAGTTCTGTCCTGTCCTATTTGTTAGCCACGAGTGCAGGTGTGTGTGTGTGTGTTTAGCTCTGCCTTTATAAGAGAAGTGTAAGAGCTTGGAGACCATGTACGTGGCACTGGGGATCAAAGCCAGGTGCTTGCACACCAGGCAGAAGCGCTCTGCCACTGAACTGTGACCCTGGCTCCTGGGGATAATTTTGTGGTTGCTGTTGTTGAGGCAGGGTCTCACCATGTAGTTCAGGTTGATTTTGAACTCACTACATAGTACAGGCTGAGTGTGAAGTCATGAGGATCCTCCTGTTTCAGCCTCTTGAGTACTGGGATTACAGGCGTGTGCCACCATGCCTGGCTACAGGTTCGGTTCTTTAACAATGCTGGCTGAAAGGATTTTGCCCTAAATGGGACACTGCAGTGGTGGTGGGAGGCTGGGAGGTGGAGGGAAGGTCACCTTCCCCGCCCCTAGGCAATTGGGAAATGAATTCCAATGGGCTACCTGTGCATCACTAATGCCCCTTAGGCACCACCCCAAACCTAAGCTACATATGTGCCCCCACACCACGTGCCCAGCAGAGAAAAAGCCAGACCCAGTGGTCGGAGGTTCTCTCTCCGCTTTCTTAAAGGCCACTTGGGGCTGGGGATTTAGCTCAGCAGCATAAGCGCCTTCCTTGCAAGCAGGCAGTCGTGAGTTTGATCCCCAGTACCGATAAAAAGGAAAAAGATAAAAATAAAGGCCACTTTTATTTCATATTTCTATCTTTTTAGCCGCACCAAAAATTCTATCACTGGCCACATCTCAAGTGCTCAATGACATTACTTTATTATTGTTACCCTTAGGCCTAGTCTACTGCTATTTTATATTTATTATCCTATTGTTAAATATAAAATTATATTTATTGCTATTAAAATAGATTATTTTATTTTTGTTACATATTTTTGGCTGAGCTGAACACATGATTAAGCATGTTAAGTATGCACTCTGCATCCCCAGCCCCTATGTTATTGTTTATAATCCTACACCAGTCCCTTGTTATTGTGAATTATTGCTAATATCCTATGGTCACTTGGCTTCACTTTTTACTCTCTAGTAATGCAGATTCAGCACAGGAATGCTGAGCTACACCTTGAACCCTTTTAATTTTTTTTCCTTTTCTTCTTTGAAACAGAAGTTGCCCAGGCTGTCCTTGAGCTCAGAGCTCCTCCTGCCTCAGTTTCACATGGAGCTGGGATTCGAGGTGTGTGCCACTCTGACTGGCTTCTATTTTCCCTATTAATCCTATAATAGCTAACGGTAACTATTGCTATTAATTAGACTGGTAAACTAGTCTTCACATTATTGATGGTTATTAGAAGCTTAATATTAATTAGTTAACATGAACGTGACTAGCATTGATCTTTGTTGATTTATTACTGATTTGTTACTGGCTCTGGTGAACTGTGGGTATGAACATTGTTAATACGAATGTTAATAGCATGGACTTTGGTGGATTTCTTGCCCTGCTGCGGATTCTGGCCTGGTTCTGGCTCCTCAGGGAGGCCCCCGGCCTCTTTCGCAGTAGGAAGGAAGGGCGGTTGGACCGGCCCCAGGCTGGCCTCGCCGGCTTCCGGAGCCACCAATCAGCGTGGGAATTGGAGCAACCTTTCTCCTCCCGGCCTCCAGCCCTGCGAGGGGGGAGGGGCCACCCTGTCCCTTGCAGTCAAGAAGCGGGGTTCCCCGCGAGCAGGGCGCGCTACGGGGTGCAAACCCTCTTCCTGTCTAAGGAAAAGGACAAAGAGAAAGAGCGGTGCCTGGCTCGCGGGACACAGTGTACCATCAACCTGGGCTCCAGCGGGGCCGAGCAAGAACGAAGCACGGAAGGAAGTTCATTTGGGCCTCCTCGACAAATCTGGCAGGCTGCCAGGGGGCCCGAACCGTGATTAAAAAGGGGAAGAACCACAAGTCCACATTTAAGTCAGCAGAGCTGTCTTCGGGCGGCGAGAGGGAAAGTGCTTGTGGCTGGCAGATTTCAGCAACCACTTGGCACAGGCTGCTTACCTGGCCACTCCCAGTGATAGGCCACATAGAAGCTGCGAGTGTGGGCCAGAGGCTGCTCGCCCTTGCCTCAGTCTCCCCAGGACAAGGAAGAGGCAATAATAGTTCACATTTCCTGGAAAGCTACCCTCCCTGTTGCACCTCCTCTGTTGCTGCTTCCTATTGGGACTGCCAGCTGCACACTTTGGAGCTTGCATCGAAGACCAATAGGGCCTTCTGCTGCTCAGAATCCCCAGGGTTCCCCACTGCCCTCAAAACAGTTCCCAGACTCCCCACCTGGACGTTCAAGACACCATGTGATGGAGCTGCTTTTCCAACTGGTTAGTGCCTATATCACCACTGCCCTCTTAGCTTCCCCCCAACTCATGATATATTCCTACCGCATGACCTTTGCACTTGCTGTTCCTTTATCCTGGAATGCCCTGGAGCCTCCTTGTCATGGTGAGGAGAATTGTCAGCACAAAGTTAGCGCCTCCAAGATGTCTCCTTCCCATTCTCCACCGCCTGGCCATTTTGTCAATTTTGTAAGTTGTCCCCTTCGTTTATTTGTTCACGGTTTTGTGGTTTCAAGGCCGTTGGACTCCAGGGATCCCACAACAGAACAGCTGCCTTGGCCATCTGTTTGGAATCTGGAAATCCCCACTTTCTGGGATCCCCCTTCCCAAAGCCGCACCTCGCGGGTTAGCAGGAGCTTAGGCCCTTGCTCCAAGGCCTGAACCCATTGCACCCTCCCAATACCCGGTGGGCTGTGCACGCGGTGGCCCGAGGCCTGGGAAGGATTGAAGTGGCCCTCGAGGGGGGCGTGGGCGGCCGGCTTCCTGTCGGGGAGGGTTGGGAGCAGACTTTCTCCGGCCCCTCCGCCTGTGCGGGGAGGCGGGCGACCGTCTGCCCCGCCCGACCGGGGCGCCCCACGGCCCCCACCCCATGAAGTCCCGAGGGACAAGGTAAGGCGCAGGGGCTCGCAGACGCGGAGGCCCACAGGGCGCGGCCACCCACGGCCAGGTGGCCTTCGTGGAGCTGCAGATGTGCTCTGGACAGGGGCCGCGTGGCCGGGTGGGGGCTGGTCACGTCTACAACCGCACAACGCGAAGTCCGCTGCGCTGAGGGTGTGGACGGAGTCCGAAGGCAGCGGGGGACTCGCAGGTCTCCTCGGCCGCGTCGCGGGTAGTTGGGGCTGGGCCCCCTTCCCCGGCGAGGATGAAAGCTGATGAAAGCAGCCGTCGCTCTTGCACCGTCAGGCCGGGCTGGTGCAGATAAGGCTGCAGGGAGGATTCGCCAGGGGCGCGAGCCCAAGGGGCCCGGGGGCTCGGCCCTCCCCGCCGTGCCCCGCCCCCTTGTGTAGCCTCGCCCCTCAGCTCGGTTCCTCAGCTTTAGGTGGCGCGATGGAAAAATTGGGTGGGCGTGTCGTGTCGAGGCCCCGCCTCCTGTGCGGCACGTGCCGGAGCTCCCAGGACCCGGGCCGCTGCGAGGAGTGTAGCTTGGTGGGCGGAGCCTTGTCAGACTCCTCCTCTAGGTCCCGCCCCTGTCGCTGAGGCGGCTCGCGGCGGACAGGGGCGGGGCTCTCCGCGGCCACGCCCCCGCGGAGGCCCTCCCCCGCCGGACGCCTCTCTGGCAGCGGGTTCCTCTTTACATAACGGCGCGGGGCGGCATGGGCTCGGGCCACTGCCTCCGCCCGGCCGCCCACCCGGACTGTCGCGGCCCGTGGTGGCTACGGCGGCGGCAGCAGGAAAGTTTCCCCGGTGGCGTCCCAGGGGCGCATCCTCCCGCAACTGTCAAGCGCTGGCGGCGGAAATGATGAGGCGCTGGCCATTTTCCGAGCCTGGGTTTCCTGCCTGAGCCCCGCTCCTCAGAGCTGCTAGTGAAGAGCCGGCGCGCGGGAGAGGACGCGCCGGGGGCGGGGGCCCGCCCGTCCCCCTCGGGACTTCGAGGGTCCGGGGTCGAGCGTCGCCATGGGCCGGCGGGGCCCCGAGTCCCTGCCTCTCAGGTAAGCTCGCGCCACTGCTGGATTCTGGCGGGGGAGGAGGAGGTGAGGAGGCCCCTCGCGCGGTTCTTCCCAGTCCGCGCACACCCGGGGCGACCCCAGAGCTGTCCTGCATCCACTCGGATGGAGGCGTGCGAGGGCGACCCTTCCCTGGCTCCTGCGACACTCCCTGGCGACATCGCCACCCACCCACCCGCACACGTGCTGGGTGTGTAATGGGAGCTGCGGCGGCCACGGGTGCTGAGGGAGGGCAGCGCCGACACCCTCAGGCCACCCCAGAGCGGCCTTGGGAGGGAGCGAGTGGACCCTCAGCCTGTGCCTGGTGACAGCATGAGGAGGTCACGCTAGCTACCTTGAAAGTGAAAGTCGAGCTGGGTCTGGGAATGAGTGAGCCCTTGGTGGGGAGCTCTCCGGCTTAAGAGGGTGGCCCTGTGGTCTGCCAAGCCCCTCTCCACTCTTCTGCACCACCCAAGTGGGCCGGGCAGACCAGGCACCCACCTCCTCCACTTGGGGGTTTACCACGGTTAGGAGTCCCAGAGCTGTCTCTGAACTGGAGCTCCCGGGAATTCCCCCGCACTGGGACCGGCACAGGAGTGTGGATCCTGTAGCTCAGCCCTGCCCAGTGAAATTTCAGAGGCCTTTAATCCCTGCTGCAGAAATCCCCTCCTTTTTCTCCTTCTGGCAGGAGAGCTTTTTTTCCGGAGTGGGGTGCATTTGAGGAACTGAGGAGGGGGTCTGCCTGCCTGCCCGGCTTCTTTTTTCTTGAATTTCCTCATTCTGTTTCTCTTCCCCATTCCCGGGACCACAATGATGTAGGTGAGGAGGTCACTGCTTGCAGCTGGGGACCTCCAGGGAAGGCCATGGCCAGGCTGTGCTGAGTGGGAGGAAGTGAAATCGGGTGGTGGGTGGGGGCTTCAAGCACAGGGACCAGTAAGGCCACATCTGCAGGGCCAAAGTCCAGCTTTGGTGACAGGAGGCACAGATTTGACCAGCACCCCCTTGCCTGGGTAATGAACATCCTCTGACACCTGCCAGTGCCCAGCCTTAGCGAACAGCAGGCCATCCAGCCTTCATTTGCAGTCAGCCTCAGGCCCCTGCAAGGCTGTGGGTACCTTTCCAGGAATGCGTGCAAGTTGCATCTGGATTTCCCATTGCTGACCTGGCAGTCATAGTAGAAATGGTTTCAAGAATCCTGGGGACATGCAGGGGCCAGAGACCCAGTCCAGATGAGAGCAGAGCCACCTGGGACAGCTGGGCTCAAGGGACAAGAAGCCAGAAGGCTTTTCAGAACACTTTTTCTGAGTCTTTTCCCACAGCCACTTTTTGGGAAGATCCTTCCCAGCCAAAGGGTGAACATCCTACCCCTGGTGTGAATCTTTGTGGGCCACAGGGGCAGGCAGCTGGGAAGGGGCTGGCCTGGAGTGTCAGCAGCTGGGGTGTGAGAGCCTTCAGGGGCTCGGCAGTGGCAGAGGAGGAACCAAAAGAGGTTGTGGAGGTTGAGCTTCGATTCTCCTTTTGCCACTTCCCTTGCTGTGGGCATGGGCTAGGATCTGCCCACCTCAGTTTTTCCTTTTGTAAAATGGGGTAATAATAGGTTTCCAGTGCAGTTTTAATGAGCAAATGTGTAAAAGTACCTGCTGCCTGGCACTGAGAAAGGACTCAATTACAGGGGGTGGTGGTGGTGGGGTGTTATTTTTATCATTACCGTCACCAGTGGCATTGTCACTGGCTGTGATGTTCTTCGTCAGCTCCCTGGAGCACCTTCTGCACCACTTTGAAGTTCCTTCAGTCTCTGGGAGAAGGATTTTGACAATTTGGACAGCATGAAGTGACAGCACTTCCTTCCAGAATGCAGTTTCCTCATCTGTGACCAGAACCATAACAGTGAATCCTCAGGGTGTTTAGGAATGGTGGTCATCATTGTTGTCAGGGAGGTTAACTCTGCTCATTTTCCTTCTTTCTCTCCCTACCCCTGGGCCTGGGCCCGCTGTGAGCCTTGGAACTTTGTAATTAATACAAGCAGAGACCTGTGAAGTTGCCCAGGTGTGGCCCCACTAGGCCACCTCTGGGGTGGAGCTGCCTCAGGGATGGGGCAGAGAGGGGGCACCTGGAGAGACCTTCTGGCTACCAGGCCCAGTGCCACCTGCCCCTGTGAAGGAGGAGAGTGCCCATCCATGTGGGGAGCTGGCAGGGAACTGCCCCCATTCTGAGTCACCATCTCTTCCTTTGCTGAAAAGGCCTAAGGGGAGCAGCGTATGGCCCCCACAGCCTCTGAGGCCTGGTTTCCTACAGGATTTCCCATTGCCGGAATCATAGAGTGGGCTGCTTAACTTCTCTGAGGCAGTTAAAATGACATGCATCTGTGAAAGGGTCGTGACAGCTATGGAGCTTGATCAGATGGCAATACCTTGTCCAGGCTGGGCTTGGCACTCAATGAATAATAGATATAATTATCATTATTTTTATTAAAATGAGAGGTTTTTCCTGTTAAATTCTTACTTCTCTATGCTATCATGTGAGCTTTGGAACCAAATTCAGGCTCAAACAGCTTCTGGCTGTGGGGCCTTAGGCAAGTTATCTTTTTTGGGAACCTGTCTGTGGGAGCCAATCCTCTGAGGGGACTGTGTGAAGCATATGTGCCTGCCATGTGGTGGGAACTTAAATTGTATTAGCAGTAATTGTTCGGGCTGTGTGACCTCTGGCTCATTCTCGGCCTCTCTGAGCTATTAATGCTGACAGTTGTTCAGAGAAGAACTATGCAGACGTCACTAAGTACACCTGCAATTCATGCCCAAGAGGGTGGCGTTTCTTTTTTTTTTGTCTTTTTTTTTGTCTTTTTCCTTTTTATTGGTACCAGGGATCAAACTCACGACTGCCTGCTTGCAAGGCAGGCGCTTATGCCAATGAGCTAAATCCCCAGCCCCTGAGGGTGGCGTTTAATTGCCAGGATTCCTAGGACTCCAGGTGCGGCACCTTTGGCTGGGCACGGCAGGAAGCTGTGCTGCCTGGAGAAGCCAGTGGGTTGGACAAGCTTGTGCTTCCAGTAGACCTGGTCCTGGCTGCCTCCCTGAAGAAACTGAGGCTGGCAGGCCACCCAGGGGGAGTGACTCAGGGGGCTCACTTGCTGAGTCAGGCCTAATTGGACCCAGGAGCTCTGTCCCCCAGCTTTTTGGCTTCTGTGGGCTTGAGATCCCTCGGGGTCTGAGCAGGTCCCAAGGCCTGGCAGCATATACTTGGCCACATCTGGACACGTGCCTGCGTGGGTAAGCAGCACCCATCTGTCAAGGTCTAGGGTCCTACTGTCCCTCTCTGGCCTGCCCACTTAGTGTCCTTCCCCCAGGCAGGGGCAAGGGACTCTTCCCCAAGGAACAGGTCCTTCTGATGGCCCTGGCCCTACTGCCCTGGCCGGAAACCCAGCAGCTGAGCAGATGGCTGAAAGATTTTTCCTCCCACGCCACCCTGTCAGGGGTCGGCAAGGGGGGCTGGGCTGCTGGCTTCCTCATGTGCTGGGCCTGTAGCCCCTGGGGGCCCTCCCGGATGTCCCCCCCCAGCCAGCTAGCGGGGAGCTGGCTGCTGCCAGGGACTCATGTCCCCAGGGAGGCCTGGGAGGGAGGAAGTCTGTGCCCTGCTAGCAAGGGCTGACTCACAGGGTGCCTGAGGGGGTGGAGGACTTAGTGCAGTCCAGCTGCTGGCAAGGTGGACACAAAAGAAGGCTTTGGCATGAAGCCTGGCTTTTCAGACCTGTCATTCTGGTGCCATCTTCAAGAGAGGCCACAGAAGACAGCATGTGCAGGGAGAGGGGCATGGCAGCTGGAGACCTTGAGTGCCCCCCCAAGCATCCTGAGGAACAAGAGACTGTAGGTGGCCTTCTGGGGGCTCCTTCTGCCCTCAATCCAGGGCAGGCAGAAGAAGGTGCCACATCCTGGGATGGGGAGAGGGTAGTTCCTGGCTTTCCTCGTTTCTAGAACTCCCTGTTGGGGTGGTAGCTGGCTGGGGGTGTTATGCTGGGGCTGCAGAGGAAGCTAGAGGACATTTCCTGAGCTGGTAGACTGTACTGGCCTGATAAATGTTGCTGGGGCAGTAGGTGACCTAAGGGGGCAGCTGGGTGCTGCCAGCTAACCCGTGTCCAGTGTGGGCCCTGCCCCTTAGTGCCCCGGGCCTCTTGACTCCTGCTTCTTGTGCTTCTGTGCACTGGGCAGCTAGAGTAAGGGTAGAGTGTACTGGAGTCCCTTGGCTCTCTGGCCTTCTTGGACACTTGGTGCTATGGTGCGTAAAACGGCTGGGCGTGGTGGCGCACACCTGTAATCCCAGTACTCGGGAGTCTCAGGCAGGAGGATCACCATGAGTTTGAGACTAGTCTGGCCTATGTAGTGAGTTCAAGACCAGTTTGAACTATATGATGAGATCCTGTCTCAAAAAACAAAAACTGATGTTCCCTATAACCTGGAGTGCACCCCGAGGCCTCCTGGGAGGAGATCACCCCTCTGCGGGTGTGACACTTTATCTGGGACTGGGGCCGTGGAGGGTGGGGGCCCTGGCCCAGTGTACTTCAGCTTCACAGTTTAAATAGCCTGCCGTGTCCCTGGCAGGTAGAATTCTCATGGTGTGGGAGGCTTTCTGTGTTCTGCCTGGTCATTAGAGATGTGTTGCCCTGAATTTTCTTACTATCCAGGGTGCTGGGATAGAGGAGAGGCTGTTGAGCCCTGATCTCTAGGGTCGTGGGCTAAGGGATCCCAGTTGTTTAGGATCTGAGGATGGATGTCTTGGGCTGGGGGCAGGGAGGAGGGTGCCAGGCACGTGGGCAGCTTGCCCATGGCAGGCCTTCAGGAGACACAGCTGTGTTCTGTACTCAGCCCGAGATAGAGACCCAGCCCTGTGGTGGGTGGAGTGGCTGTCTCCATGTGTTTGCTGTGAGGACTTGGGGGTGTAGTACCAGGATGCACCAGTGCCACTTGTCCTCATCCCTTCCTTGTCTTTGAGGCTTGGAGAAATCTTGGAACAACCAGAGCTAGCAGTTCCCCTCCCCTAGAAGTCCAGGCTTTGCAGGCGAGACAGATGCCCAGATGCACAAGCCCCTCCATGTGGAAGGGGTGCATCCTGTAGCAGTCCTATTTCTGGTGGCCCAGATGGCCATGCTGCAAAGAAGCCATCTACTCACACCCTATGGTAGTCTATGTCTGGTGGCTCCTGGGTCCCCTAGTGATGATCGACAATTGCTTCCTGCCCAGAGCTGCTCAGCCCAGATCCCAGGTTTGTCAGTTTGATCAGCTGCCCTTCTCTGTGTCTGGCACATAGTAAGCACTCAGTCAGTACTGCTGCCTGGCACAGTGTGCAGGAGGGGACCACCTTCTACAGCCTGGTGGCCCTCCTGGTCAGTAGACCAGGCACGGCCCCTTGCTGTCCTGGAAGGCTGTTTCCTGCCTGGAGCCGTAGCCACCAGGGCCTCTGTCTCTCCCTTTTGAAGGCCTTTTGTTTGGGCTCCTGTGACTCCCCCTGCCAGCCAGTGCGCCATGAGCAGGCTGTCCTCAAGGCTGGGGGCAGAATGCCTTCTGCTTTTCCAAAAGAATAATATGCTGGTGGTAGCCGCTAGTTCCAGTCCCATGCTGAGTGCCTCACAGACACCAGTTCCTAGAGTGCCTCAGCTGGGGCCAAAGAAAGGGTATCAGCCTGTCTTGTGGACAGGGATTCTGAGGTACGGAGAGAGAAGCCCACTTCTGTGTCACTTCTGTGGTGAGGACAGGCAGAGGTGGGATGTGAACCTAGGTTTGGGTGGCAGCTCTGTCATCGGCGTGGAATCTCTGTAGCTTTTGCCAAGTCCCTGGCTCTTTTCTGGCTTCCTTGGACATTGGGAGCCAGACTTTCGGGACTGCCACGTCACAATTCTGAGACCACCTGCTCTCTGCAGACTCCAGTGATCATCGGGTAGGGGAGATGGTGGTGTCACTCAGATTTAGCCAACTAATGCAGCTCTGTCCTCTCTGGTTGGCTGTGTGACCTGGAGCAAGCCTCTTCTCCTGCACCCTGACTAACATATGCAGGGTGTCCTGCCCAGCAGGGACACAGAAAACCTGAAATGGTATCATTTATTATATCATTTTTGTTTTCTTGTTTTCACTCCATGACTTTCTGGCCATTTGGTGGCTTTGGGACCTGGACAGTTACTGAGAATTCTTGACCCAGGCAGGAGCTGATTGAGACCTCTGTATCCTCTCCTTGGCTCGCCTCATTTAGTGACCACAGATCGGGAAGCGAGTCCTCTTAGTGTATTTGGCTCAATCAGATGCTGTGGATGGTTTGTTACTCATTGGCTCCTGATGTTTTTTAATCTGTGAAAGGGAAGCAGTAATTGACAGACCTCCGAGGGCTGTGGTGACAAGAACAGTGCCTGGAGTATAGCAAGTGTCAGCAGGTGTCACTGAGGAGGGGGTGCAAGAAGGCACCCATGCATGGCTTGGAGGGAGAGAGTGGGATGTGGCAGCCTTCAGCAAGGCTTGGCTGTGCGGCTTGGCCTCAGAAGTAACATGGAGGGCTGGAGAAGAATAGGGGCTCTGGGGACAGAGGCACAGGGTGCCCAGAAGAGAGGCTGGTTCTAGGGAGGTGACCGTGAGTTGATGCTGGCTGAGATGTCTCTGCCAGAAGACCCATAAGTTGTGAACCCAACTGATCTGTTATCAGGAGCTCATTTGCACCCACTTTATGCTACTAACTGGGACAGATGGACTGAGTCCTGGCTGCTCAAGGAGACCACGTTCTGGTGGGGACATCACTAGTGAAGTCGCCCTAACTGCTAGGTGGTAGCATGTGACCCGGCTGCTAAAGACACCCTCAGAAGAGGACACAGCTGTTCTGTGCTGCACTGAGAGAAGACAAGCAGAGGGCCCAGTAGTACCAGCGCCATGGCTGAGACAGACTACATGGGGCCTCGGAGCTGGGACAGGAGTTGGCTCTGGATTCGGACCCCTTGGGCCCCCCAAGTTGTGAGCCTGTTGCCACAGCTGTTTCTGTGTGCCAGAGCAGTTGGGACCACATGAGAGGGAGCCTGTGTGCCATTTGCAGGCACAGCCCTGCACGCTGAGCCCCGTTCCCTGATCCCTGACAGACCTGCTCCCTTCCCTGCCTGACATATGAGGAGACCAAGGGTCAGGGAGCCAGCCAGATGTCAGAAGCCACACAGCCAGTATTCAGACTCCTTTGTAATGGGAGCCCCCAGGGGGCAGCGTGTCCCTAGGGTCCAGCATGGTGCCTGCACACAGTAGGCCCTAACAAATATTTTGGGGAGTGAATAGACAGAAGCAGCCTTTATACATAGACCTATGTGGTCCTGCAGCCTGGGTGCTGCACCTCTGCCCATGCCCCATGATGGAGAGGCCTGGGGGTGGCTCTGGTCATGCGGGGTGTGTCCAGCTTTGTGCCAGAGCAGAGGAGGCATTTCCCATTCTCCATTCTGAAGAGCAGATGTGGACGTGTGCAAGAGCCCTGGCCTGTCCAGCCTTAGAGAAGGAGGGGGGACTGATGGCTGCCTGCAAAGTCAGAGACATTCTGTGCCAGGGTGGTTTCGGGCTGGCTGGGGTGGGGGTGGGGTGTTAATGTACCCACATAAACTGTAGTTTGGTTTTATTCATATGTTTAGGTGGACAAGATTGTACGTTTGCATTGTTCTGCATTGTTTGCATTTTAGCTTACCTGTGTGCTGTGGGTGCTCCCAGAGGTGGCAGGGAGGGCTTTCCATACCCTTTCCAGTGGCTTGTAGAACATTTCACCCTATGGGATGGGCCCTAGTTCATTTCAGTAGCTCCTGACTGTTGGGTATTGGGGTTGTAATTAATTTTCTCCTATTAGGGAATACTACCATGGGAAGAGAATTGTCCTGCACCTGCCTTTCTATGCATGAGAAAGTTTGTTCCTTAAATACTTAGGCATTTAAAAAAGAAACAAAACTTACACCTGAGTTGCTGGCTCTAAAATTGCTTAAGAACCAGCAGCTTTGTACAGGAGCACCTATTTCACAGCCACTTCAAATAATACTAAGTACTATTAGCAATTTTTATTTTATTTATTTTTATTAGTAATTTTGAAAATTGACTTTTGTGTTATTTCCTTGTATTATCCCTACCAGTCTTTTCTGGTTATTTTGTTTTGTTTTTTGGTGCCTGGGATCAAACTCACGCTTGCCAGGCAGGCACTTGTGCCACTAAGCTAAACACCTTGCCCTTAATTAGTTGACTTGTTGAGATAGGGTCTTGCAGTCTAGTAAAGGTTATCCTGAAATTCCTTATGTCTTGCCTTAACCACCCAGGTGCTAGGATTAAAGGCATGAGCTACTACTACTGGTGGTAATATATTTACTTTTGCGTTACTGGAGATCAAGCCCAGTGGTTTGCACACGCTAGACGGGTGCTCTACCAACTGAGTTCCATTCCTAGACCCCACAGCGTGTATGTGTATATATTTTTGTTGTTTTGTATTGGTTTTTTGAGACAGGGTCTTGCTATATATAGTTCAGGCTGGCCTGAACTCTTGGCACCCGTCCTGCCTCAGCCTTGGGAGTGCTGGGATTACAGGTGTGTGTGCTCCCACCCCTGGCCTTGTTACTGGGCTTTAAACCTGCCACCTGAAACATGCGAGGTAAGCGCTCCACTACTGAGGCACATTCCCAGCCCTTATTCTCCTTCTCCTTTTTCCTCTTCCTCCGCTCTTCCTCTTTCTTTTCCTCTTCCTCCTTTTTCAGAGTCTTCCTCTTCTTTTTAATTTTTATTTTAAGCCCATCTTGCTAAATTGCCCAGGCCACCCTCAAACTTGAAATCCTCTTGCCTTGGCTTCCTGAGTAGCTAGGATTACAAGGTGTGCGCCTTGGCATTGGCCCAGTGTTTGATTTTGATGCCGTGCGGGGTGAATAGCTTTCTTGAAGTACAGCCCTCCCCCAATGTAGTTTCAGTTGCCAGTGGTCACCCGGGGTCTGAAAATACTCATTGGAAATTTCTAGAAATAAGAATGCATCTAAAATATGCCTGTTCCAGCCAATGAGATTAGATGTCCCCCGTCACCCGTTTCCATGCTATATATGCCACATATCCAGACCCTCTGGGTGTGAGGTGCTCCTTTGGGATCCCGGGAGTCCCCACTGCCCGCGCCATTCCGCTTACCCTGTGGCCCTTTGTCTTTCAGCCCGGCCGCCCTGCTTCGGTCTCCGCCATGAACGGGCCCACCCTGCAGCCCCCCGCGCCGCAGCCCGCCGCCCCGCAGCCCCCCGCGCCCTCGCGCGGCTGGAGCGAGTTCTGCGAGCTGCATGCCGCCGCCGCGGCCCGCGAGCTAGCGCGGCAGTACTGGGCCTTCGTGCGCCAGCACCCGCAGCACGCGCCGCCGCGAGCCGAGCTCGTGTCACTGCGCTTCGCCGACCTCTTCCAGCGCTACTTCTGCCGCGAGCTGCGCGACGCCCGCGCCGCCGGCCAGCCCGGCCGGGACTACCGTGAGGCGGCTCGCGGACCAGCTGCCAAAACCGAGGGCCCCGAACCGGGCCTGGTCCCCGCTGCCACCGAGCTGCCCAAGGCCCGCAGCTCCGAGGACCTGGCCCCGCCACGCGCGCCCGGTGCTTGCGCCCTCCAGCAGCTGCGCCGCGGCCTACGCCACCTCTTCCGCCGCCGCTCAGCCGGGGAGCTGCCCGCTGCTTACGGCCAGGGGGACGTGGGTGAGGCCTCCGCTCGGCCTGGACCGACCCGAAAGCTGCTGCCCTGGAGCCTGGCCCGGGAGCCGCCGCCCGCTGCCCTCAAGGAAGAGGCGCTGCGCTACAGCCTGGCCGACGAGGCGTCCATGGATAGCGGCGCGCGCTGGCAGCGTGGGAGGCTGGTGCTGCGTCGTGTGCCGGGCCTGGAAGGCAGCCCAGACCGTGTGCTGGAGCTCTTCGACCCGCCCAAGGTAAGCACGGTGGAGCGAGTGGGCCTCCTGGGCAGGCATGGTGATGCTTTTTCCAGTCTGTTTCCCCCAAGTGCCAGTAGGAAAATAGGACGGTAAAGTGTGTTGCAGAGAAAGCTTTAGTACTGTCGCGTGCATTTGTCATAACTTAGGAACCAGACCTGGCAAGTTACTGTTAGGGAATTCCACAGATTTTGTAGATTGTCCAGGGAAACCATTTTTTTGAGTCACAGGTGGGTGTCATGTGGGCCAGAACCAAAGTCCTAGAAAATTCTGAAACTGGCAATGACAAATGGATCTCTTATTTCCAGAGGGATCAGAACTGTCGACTTCCTTTGCATTGCCCACACTTTGTCTGTTTTTGGTTTTGGTTTTTTGTCTACTTTTTTTTTTCTTTCGAGTTAAAACAAATCTTGTCACTGGGCCTGATGGTACAACCTGTAATTCCAGTTCCCTGGGAGACTGAAGCTGGAGGTTTTCAATGTTGAGCAGAGCTTGGGCAATTTAGCAAATAGTGAAAGGCTATCAGAAAAGGGAGGGGTGTAGCCCAGGGCGAATGCCCTGTGTTCAAATTCCAGCATCACTGAATAAATAAAAAGGTCTGGCGTCATGGGCCCTGTGACTTTGACCCCTCATACCGCACGTGAACTTTTCTGTCCTTTCCCTGGCAGCAGCCTAATGCTTGCTGTATGGCTGAGGCTGTGGGTCCCACGTTCTGCACACTGAGCTTCGTCTTCAGGGCAGGTGTGTGGTCCTGTTATGTACCAGGACCTTGCTGTAGGGTGAGCAAAACAGAGGAGTCTCAGCTTCGGCGCCCAGTAAGGGTGTTGAAGCTCAGCAATCACTGGTGGACACTTGCTGGGTGCCACTGTCTGCGGGCAGAGGCTGGATTAGGGGAGCTGCACTCCAGGGAGGCAGTTAGGGGCAAAGTCGCAGGTGGGCCTAGGCTTGTACACTGAGTTGTGTCCTGAAGGTCTGTGGAAGGGGAGTTGAGGGGCAGGCCTGATCCATGTCCCCTGGCATACAGTGCCACAGCGCTGTGCGCCTCGGCTGAAGCTCTGTGTGTGCACTCGTGCATCCCAGCATCTGAGTGTTCCCTGCATCCCCCCATGCCAGCACTATACCCCACACACACCTCAGCTGCTGCTGCACAGGTCAGATGTCTCTGAACACCGTGCATATGGATCACACAGCCTGTCACTTTATATCCAGCTTCTTTAGTGTGTTAGAGTTCACAAGTCCTTTTGTGCATTGAGACTTTCTTTTTTTGTGGGGGGTGGTACTCATGACCTTGCACTTGCCAGGCAGGCGCTTTCACCACTGAGCTAAATCCCTAGCCCTTGAAACTTTAATTCTTGTTTTGTGTTATGTGGTGGTGTTTTTCTTTTCTTTTCTTTTCTTTTTTGTACAACTGGGAATGGAACCTAGCACTTGGTACATGCTGCTAAGTAAGCACTCTGCCCCTGAGCTAAACCCCAGCCCTTTTTAGTTTTTATTCTGAGTCAAGGCCTCACTAAGTTGCCCAGGTTGACTTTGAACGTGGGGTCCTCCTACCTCGGCCTCCTGTGTAGCTGGGATGGGCAAGTGTGTGTCACTTGTTTTGGGACTTGGATGAAATTTGCATGTAGTGCTTTGTGGGAACACATACTGTCATCTCTCCTGGTTGGGTTCTTAAGAGCAGTGTTGCTAGATCACATAGTAAATGCACATTTAACTTTGTAAGAATCTGCCAAACAAGGGGCTGGGGATTTAGCTCAGCGCATAAGCACCTTCCTTGCAAGCAGGCAGTCGTGAGTTCGATCCTTGGTACCGATAAAAACGAAAAAGACAAAAAAAAAAAAAAAAAAAAAAAAAAGAATCTGCCAAACATTTTGCAAAGTGGCCACCCTGTTTTGTATCCCTGGCGGCAGAGTCCCCTGGCTGTGTCCTCCACTAGTGCGTCTTCTAGCAGGAGTGTGGTGGGTGTCTCAGTGTGGCTTGCATTGCCCTCCCTGACAAGCATCACTGCGTATTGGCTGTGGGAGTTCGCTTTTTGGTGAAGCACCTGCTGTTTCCATTCCGCTTGTCCTTGGTTGGTGTGTGAGAGGTGTTACATGTTCTGGACACGTCCTTGGCACTATGACTGTCCTTTCCCACCTTGTGGGCTCCCCGTGTATGCCCTTGGTCTAATGAAGTGTATCGTTAGTTGCCTCCCTGTATGGTTGGTGCCATTCGTGTCCTGCTCCTGATGTATTCATCTGATCAGGGCCAGGTTGACATTGCATGCTGTGGTCTGCTGGGGGCCTTGCCGTGCGGGTCTTCCTGTTTTGGACTGGGACCCGCCTGAGTCGGCTTTGTGTTTGGTATGAGGCGGTGCGGCAGTCCTGCCTTCCACCTGTGCGTCCCTGTCCCTTGCTGTGTTTGGCCTGCTAGGTTGTAAGGTCACCTCCACTGAGTCTGGGGTCTATCGTCAGCTGGGCCTCGGGACAGTTTTGGTCCTATTGGTGGAGGCAGTTGTCCAGGCAATGCTCTCTGTTCTGCTATCACCATTCTGAGTGAGTGTTTCGGTGTGACTTTTGGACTGAGGCGCTGAATCCCATCACTGACGAGCGATGGGAAATGTTTAGAATTTTGTTTTTGTTTTTGATTTTTGGAGACAGGGTCTTGCTTTGTAATCCAGGCCAGCTTTGAATTTACTGTCTACTCAAGGCTGACCTTGGGCTTGTGAGATCCTCCTATCCCAGCCTTCCAAGTGCTGAGATTATACCAGGATGCCATGGTTTATTCAGTAAGTGGGGAGGAGGCTGGAGGTCCACGAAGGGGGTTTCTCCAAAGACTGAGCACCAGGTGCAGACCCACGAAGCAGTCAGAAAGGTCCATGTGCAGACAAAAAGTATGATAGATATTTTCTATCATTTGTGAAAGGCAAGGACAGCCCCAGGGCATGGTCTTACCTTGTGTGACCTTGTGGGGTCCTGTCCTATAAAACTTCGCTTTGAAACATGCAACAACTCTCTTGGAAGCTGGCGTCAGCAGTGGGTGAGCCTGGGATCAAAAGGTAAATCTGCCTCTTGCAGCTCTGGGCTGCTCTCCCAGTCTCAGCTCCCTCTCTGTATCTGTCCACTCCTGGACCCCACGCCGGTGGAGGTTGGTGGAGGCGTAGCTGGGACTATGGGCTACAGAGCCAAGGTCTGTCCTCGTCTGGTTGCCATGTGTTTTGGGTCCAGCCCTTGGGGCCCTGATGGTAGCGTGGGTCTGTTTTCTTCAGCCTCTGGCTTTCTGGGGAAGTCAGGTATGGTGCCGCTGGCCTGTGGGCTGGGTCTGGGCCACCACCATAGGCTCCGTCTCAGGCCCATAGTGGCTGTGAAGTCAAGGGTTTATCTGCAGAGCAGTCATGTCAAGTCTGGCCCACCAGTTCCTGGCCTAATAGCTGGTCCCAGTCACTCAGAATGTCTGGTGGCCTGGCTGAGGGTCTCAGACCACGAGTTGTGTGTACCTGCTGGGTGGTCAGCCCTGACTGCCCTAAAAAGGACAGGAGCTCCTGTCACCTCAGGCGTCCTGCATGAAGGGAGCAGGTCCCATCTCGCTGCCAGCCTGGAGGAGGCCCTTGTGGCTTGGATCAGGAAGAGCTTTGGAGCACAACAGTGGTCAGAGGGCTGTCACCCACTATGTTCCTCAGGCTCAGCCAAGCAGACTGTCCCAGAAGTCACAGGTCAGGTGACCCAGCCTTCCTTGGAGCCAGGTCAGCTCCCCTTGAGCTGCAGTGACCCTAACCCTCCCCCCAGTCTCAGTCTGCTCACCTGTGTAGGTGGGGTGACACCAGTGACTACTCACAGGCTACCATGAGGGCTACAGGGGGAGGGAGCCCATCACTGGGGGCATGCAAAGGGAGGCCATAGTCCGCTACAGGTAGAGGAGGTCGGAGGAGACAGTGTGCTGTCCCAAAGTCAGGAGATGGAGCAGCCACAGGCCTGGTTTCATGATGTCTCTGTGGCTGGACCTCTCCTGTGCCCTGCTCTGTCTTTGGTCCTTGGGAGGAGGCATGGCCTTTGCTAGGGGACAGTCCTGCAGGTTTCTCAGGGGGAAGTGTGGGCCTCATGGATCTCTGTGATGTAGGGGCCCTGGGGTACATATATACTGGGTGAATATAGGGGCAGCCAGCAGGCGGGGGCTTGGCAAGGGGAGAAGAGGTGGGGCTGGAAAGTGGTGCAGCCTAGAGGGCCATGGGAATAATCAGGGTGCAAGCGGGAGGCAGCCTGGAGGGGACAGTGGGCTGGGCCTTTGGAGCCACCTGTGGCCCCACACTGTGGCATAAGAGAGGGTGGCCTAGGGAGCTGGTCTCCCTGTGTGTACCGTGGGTGGCCAGGGCTGCAGCACCCTGCACAGACACCGTCCGAGGCCTGCTTAGCCATGAGGCAGCTGCCGCCTTTGTCTCACTGGTGGGGTGCACAGGCCTGGAGCGGTCAGGCAACTTTCCCATCGTCACTCGGCTTGGGAGTGGGCAGAGGGATGGGGCCTGGCAGTGCTCGTGCCCTCAGGAGGACCTGCCATCGATGTGATGTTCTGTGGTGTGGTTTCACCCAGGGCCTTCCTGGCTGCATATCTGTTTTGGGTCCTGTGGCTGTTGTCCAGGCTGCTGTTCTGCAGATGGGGACCCTAAGGCCTGGAGCGGCTGGCCAGTGAGTCCTCCCTGGCCTGTCGATGGCTTCCAGTGCCCATCCTGGCAGAGGCAGTGGGGACTCTGTGGGCTCAGCCCTGGGCGAGCCCCCACAGCGGGGGTCTGGCTAGGCCTTGGGGCTGGTCAGGGCGCTCACATTGCCCCCTCTGCACCTCAGGCAGGGGGCCTCAATGCTGCAGTCCTGGTGTCCAGCAGGGGACAGTACAGGGTGGGTGGAGCCCCAGCAGGTGGCCCTCTCCAGGGTGCCCCTCTCTGGAGTGAATCTGACTGTGGGCTGGGCTTCCCAGATGTGCCTGCTGCACAGATGAGGAAACTGAGGCCTGGGCGGGGCCCCGGGAGCCCCTGC